AAGAAGAATTCGACCAAATCTTTATGTAGTTGCTGAACTCTTCACCGGGTCAGAAGAAATGGACTACGTTTTCGTCAAACGTCTTGGTCTAAGTTCACTCATCAGAGAAGCAATGCAGGCTTGGAGTACTGGCGAAGTCAGTCGTCTTGTTCATCGACATGGCGGTAGACCCATTGGTAGCTTTGAGGTCGACGAAGTATCAGGTGCAGAACAGAAGACACCACATGGTAGATCCAATGGATCGACACCCGGCAAAGAAATCATTCGCACCATCAGATATACTCCAGTTCATGCTCTCTTTATGGATTGTACCCATGACAACGAAGTTCCAGCTCAAAAGCGTGATGCTCGGGACACTTTACCAAATGCTGCATTGGTTGCCATGTGTTCAAGTGCCATTGGTAGCGTCATGGGCTACGATGAAATTTATCCCAAGCTAGTCGAAATTGTTCATGAAACGAGATTGTACACCTCTGCTTCTTCCGAAAAGGAAGTCAAGATTGGAGCTGGCGAAGGTGGCATCGGTGGTGTCAAGAAACTTCTCAATCAAATCCATAGTATTATGGGTAAGGATGGGTACGCAGAAACATACATCCACCACGAAGATCAGTATATTACTGTTCATCGAGTGCATCCCGAATCTAGAAAGGGGTACTTCCTTATCGCACATACTGCTTTCCCTGGCTACGGCAACGGAAATGGAGGTTTCAACCCAGTTCATCTTGGGGGCACTAAGGCGAGCCATCTTGGCAGCTGGATGCTGGAAGTCGACACTTCTGAAGAGGCAAAGAAGGAGGCATTAGGGGACAAGAAGTATCTAAGAGGATTACCTAGCAAAGTTTCTAATCTTCCTGGAGTCCGTATGGAATACAAAGATGGGGAAACAACAATTTCCGTACGAGACAAATTTCCTCCCGGAAGTATTGCATTATTTGAGACTTGGATACCTGCTGCTGAGCATGCGACTGGTCTCGATACATTTGTTACCTCGGGAGCAAAGGCGGCATTTTCCGAATTGGACTTGGTTGATTTGAACGTCGTCCTTTATAAATGTGAGGCGGAAGAGCTCGATGCTAGTGAGGGTAAAGATGGAGTATACGACATTCCTGGCCACGGTAAACTCGTATATGCTGGTTTACAAGGTTGGTGGAGTGTACTCAAGAATATCATCAAAGACAATAACTTGGGACATCCCATGTGCAACCACTTGAGAGAAGGACAATGGGCACTTGACTATATCATCGGTAGATTGGAGAAAATGTCAAACAGGTCCGGCTATGAACGACTACAAAAGCCAACGGCTTGGTTGAAGGAACGTTTCGATGCGATTCGAAAAATGCCAAGCTTTTTACTTCCCCGTTACTTTGGTCTAGTTATCCGAACTGCTTACCGAGCTGCCTGGGAGCGAAGTTTGGCATTGATGAATGAGAATGTCCGTGAGGGACAGTGGTTCTTACAAGATTTAGCTATGGTTAGCGTTCAACAGACTGGATATGTCAATTCTGCATCTTTGTACCCCAAGAAGGCAGTACCTTCTTTAGCAGCTGGCTTGCCGCATTTTGCAGTCGAGTGGGCTAGATGTTGGGGTAGGGATGTATTCATCTCTGCAAGAGGTCTCTTCCTTGGTACAGGTCGCTATGCTGAAGCAAGAGAACATATTCTCGCATTCTCAAGTGTCTTGAAGCATGGTATGATACCTAACTTGTTGAGCAGTGGTAACTTGCCACGTTACAACTCTCGAGATTCAATTTGGTTCATGTTACAAACCATTCAAGACTATACCAACATTGTACCAAATGGATTGGATCTTCTGAAAGAGAAGGTCCCTCGACGATTTTTACCTTACGATGATACCTACTTTGATTCTGATGATCCAAGAGCATACTCAAAGACATCAGTCTTGGAGGATATTATTCAGGAATCTTTGCAACGTCATGCATCCGGAATGTCATTCAGAGAAGCAAATGCCGGTCCAAACCTCGACATGCAAATGAGCTCCGAGGGATTCAACATTGACATCAAAGTTGATTGGTCAACTGGTCTGATATTTGGTGGTAACCAACACAACTGTGGTACTTGGATGGACAAGATGGGAGAGAGTGAAAAAGCCAAGAGCAAGGGAGTTCCTGGTACACCTCGTGATGGAGCTGCTATTGAAATCACTGGTCTCTTATACAGTACTCTTCGCTGGGTAGCCGAACTTCACGAGAAAGGCAAGTACAAGTATGCTGGCGTCAGCACTTCAGATCCAAACATGCAAGTCATCACTTTCTCAGACTGGGCCGATAAGATCAAAGAGAACTTTGAACGTTGTTACTATGTTCCACTGGACGCTAAAGATGACTCCAAGTATGATGTGAATACTCCTATTGTCAACCGAAGAGGTATTTACAAGGATCTATACAAATCTGGCAAAGAGTACGAAGATTATCAACTACGATCAAATTTCCCAATTGCCATGACGGTTGCCCCAGACCTCTTTGACGATGCTCATGCCCTTAATGCCTTATTTCTGGCGGATAAAGTACTTCGTGGACCTACTGGTATGGCAACTCTTGATCCAGCTGATCTTAATTATCGACCATACTACATCAACTCCGAGGATAGTGAAGATTTCTCAACTTCAAAAGGAAGAAACTATCACCAAGGTCCAGAATGGTTATGGCCAACTGGTTTCTTCTTAAGAGCTTTGTTGAAATTCGACCTCAAGAGAAGAAAGACTCCAGCGGCTAAGACGGAAGCTTTCCAACAAATCACGAGAAGATTGGCGGGCTGTAAAGAAGCTATTGTTAATAGTGATTGGGCTGGTTTGACGGAATTGACACAAAAAGATGGAGCTTATTGTCCTGATTCAGTATGTTGTTTCCTATATTTGTTTAGATGATCTGTGCTAATTTTATGGTAGTCTCCAACACAAGCTTGGAGTGCAGGTTGTTTGATCGATTTGTATCATGATGCTGCACAATATGACGTTTCTCAATTATCGAAATAGATGATTGAAATGTCAAAACTGAAAGAAGAATACGGAAGTGGAAAATGTTAATGAGGCATGGGACTGGAGGTTACGTATGACGATACGGCAAGCGATAAATCACTGGTTGATTGTTTATATGGAAAAGCGAGCATGGGAATTGTGGAAAATGGGAAAGTTGGAAAGGATTAATGAGCAAAGGATTGGTAGATAGACATGATAATTTCGAGCGTTGATTGATCTTGTTGATCTGATTTGATTTGCAATACCTCTGTTATGTTGGTGCTACGGATGTGTGCATATTCATCTGTCTATTGTTGGGCCTTAACGCTGTCTCCTCAAAATACGGCCTCCCGCTATATTCCCCATTTACAGATTCATAACGTGCCCACGGGTAACAATAGATGATTGTTGATAGTGAGGGTTGACGCGAGATAGTCGAGGTGAAAAGTTGGTGGGATTTTTGTTTCTGAAAAGATTTTCTATTGTTATTTTGGTGAGAGCGGCGGAGGTATGGGAAACAGGGAAAGGAGGGGAGGAAATTGAGGAGTCAGTATATGTGGTAAAAAGCGGATGTGGATATGGATATGGATATGGACTGTTATTTAGTGTTAATATTTATTTTTAAAGTTGTGTTTCAACTTTTGAGTCGTGTTGTATGGTACAGGTGCAGGGTAAGAAAGAGGGGGAGGGGGAGGGAGGTGAGTTTCTGGGGAAATTATGGGGTTGGGGTTGGGGTTGTGTTTCAGTGAGGGAGGGATTTGTTGATTATTTGGGATGGGATGAGAGAGAGGGTGAGGCTTGATGTTGATTTTGCGGAATATAGACGAGTGGAATTGGTGGGTAGTTGGTGGGTAGGGTTGTGGATCGGGATGTGGAAATTCAGGGGGGATTGGGAAGAAATATATGGGGGGTGGAGATAGAGATGGAGACAGATAAATGAATGGATAGTGTTTGTATAGATAGGATATTCGTTTTTGTTTTGAGATATTGGATAAAATGGGATGGGATGGGATGGGATGGGATGGGAAAGACTAGGTGTTATGGATTACGAAAGAAGATAGATAATCTGTAATCCCAACTCAACTTTATAATTTCACACAATTTTGGATTCTCGTTTTCAGATATCCATGGATCAAGACTCAAGACTCAAGAGGGAGATTAACTAGGTAGGTATACACAGCGAGATCTGGAGAGGCCCGAGAGGAAGGGAATTAGTGATGGATGGAGAATTGGATGTTGATGGAGAGTGTGATGGAGAGTATGATATTATTGTGTATTTCCTCTTTTTCATATATATATTCATTCCCATCTTCAAGTAAACGATCTGTATATTTCTCGATATACAATTTGATGTGGGAAACTCAGGATGTGATTGATGGGTTTGATTTGATGGAGATACCTAGGTAGTGACTAATGGGGAGATAAGATGAGAAGAGAAGAGAAGGTATTGTTATACTTTTGGTTTGGAACTTTTGTGAATTCAGAATTTAGATATAGCTAATGCATTTTTACATCTATAATTATATACTTCTATACTTCTCTCCATCTTTTTCATTCTCATTCTCATTCTCACTCTCATCACATACCCACCCTATCGACCTCCCCATAAGTTTTATTCATGCGTCCCGGGTTTGATAAAGATAATCTGCCTTGATCTTCTCTAGAATCAGACATGGAGTTATCTTGATGAGCCGAGTTATCGATGATATAATATAGCTTTGGCTCCTTTTCATATTTAGTAGATGTAAGGATGATTGCAAGTTCGAGTTCAAGTTCAAGTTTAAGTTCATGAGTTGCGCTGCGCCTATGAATACGAAAACGAGATCTAGAGGAAATCATTGGAGGGTTTGATTGATTGGAGGGGCTTATCTAGTCGAGGGTGACGATTTTGATGTTTTGGATGTTGAGAATGAATGAATTGAGAAATAGAACTTTCTTCATAGTGAAATAACATCTTATTGTAAAGAATATACTTGTTCGGAAAGAAGTTGCTGCGGAGCATATTTGTCATATGTTCCAAACTTCCAAAAGCCTGCCGCAATGTTGCATGATTATCTACTAGGTAGTGGTACGTAGATGATTGAGGATATATCTGGATGATACTTCCATTCCCCCATTTCGAGGAATGAGGGGGTTTGCACAGCCGTGCAACGTGTTTTGGTGATGGTACTGCCTATGAATGAAGTAGAAATTGAAACTTCAGCTAGCTTAGCAAGCCACACGAGTGCCGCATCGCTGACTGTACCTCATATCAGATGTATAACGAAACCTTCTCAATCAACATGGTCAAATTGTAGAAACCTTCTAAACTTGAAGGACTAGGTAGATATATGAAAGGTACAAAAAATTGCAGCCACCCAAATCCATAAATCAGTGTCTATCTTTCTATCAAAAATCATATCTATAAAGATAAGTTTATTTCCCCTTAATGTTGTTGGGACTGCTTCTATATTGAGCACCCTGCAAACCATTGACTCTTCCATATAGCCATTTAAGCACTGCTGTACTACCAGTCATCGTCAAGGCAGCTCCGGTGAACAAAATTGCTCTCTGCGTTGTATCAAGATGTCCAAATAATGGGTATGGGTAACTAAACATCGATATTAGCATTCGATTTTTCGTCAGATAAAAATGCTCAGCTATAGACTACTCACAATCCGTTATACTTATAGCATTGTTCCACCCAAGCCCAATATGCAACGGCCAAGGTTGATGAAAGTCCCATAGCAGGCAATGCATTGATGGTCCAAGGCGGACTCAAGAATAGTAGATCAATAGTCAACAAGATCGCTGGCATAGCGTGGAACCCGATATCAGCATATGGACTAATATAGATCTCGGGAGGCACCAAAAGCTTCTTATCAATAGCCGAGATTCCCCAATACAACACGGAGATCAAAACTTCCAGAGGGGCAGAACATAATGAAAGAGAATTCTTGATCATGAAAAGTCTTGGGGAAAGAGTGATGTCTGCGAGGAAGCCGAAGACAAATGTCAAAAAAGCTAGAGTAAGACCAATGATGGTGAGGTATTGGAAGTGCCAGCCATATGAGGAGTTGATGAATGTTGGGAAGTCAAAAAGATATTTATAAGAAAGAGAGAAGGAAGCAAGGCCAATGAGATGAACGAGGGCGGAGATTGTTGGAGAGGGAGAGGGAAGACGTTGAAGGGGATGACGGGAGGTGAGTTTATTGGCTGCTGAAGTAGAACCCATGATTGTTGAGTTCTTGAGAGTCTTGTAGTTGTGATAAGAAAATATGTACCGGTAGCTGTTACCATGAATATATAGATCCGAAGCAATGACGTCTATTATGTGGAGTAGCTGCAAGAATTTTAGATAAGGCTATCCAGCCTTGCACGACCAAAACACGCTAGTGTATCCTGGGCTCAGCCTTGTGATATTATTTCGTTCACGTCAACTTAATTTCTTGAACCATTATTGGCCTTCAAACAACACTTATTCTTCACTTAAAAAGTCTACAATATTCAGTTTTATCAATATGGCTGATACAGCTTCCAGTTCTAATAAACGCAAGCTCGATGTCGAAGATGAAGACTCCTCGTCCGACGATGATATGGGACCTCAACTGCCATCTGCGGAAGCTCCCAAAAAGAAGCGTCGCAAGCTTCCCTACGAAAAGCTCTATATCTCAGCTCTGCCAACCTCTGCACGGTATTCAAAGTCTCTGATGCACAAAGAGCAAATCTCGTTTGTTACTATGACCCCATTGACAGACTTCTTAATCACAAGCTCCGTCGATGGAGTGGTTAAATTTTGGAAGAAAGGAGGCGACGGTATCGAATTTGTGAAGGAGTTTAGAACACACATTGGAGAGATCAAAAGTGTTTCGATCAGTGCAGATGGACGAAGCTTTGCGACAGCTGGCGCGGATAAAACAATCAAGATATTCGATGTGATGACCTTTGATCTCTTATCGATGCTAACCTTAGAATTCACACCGAAATGTGTCTGCTGGGTACATGGTCGTGGCGCATCCCTTCCCATGTTAGCTGTATCTGACGAAGTTAATCATACAATTCGGATATACGATGGTCGTGGAGAGAATCAGGAACCAATCCATACAATTTCCGGCTTACATCGAAGTGTTGTCTCGTTGATGGCCTACAATGATGCTTACAATTGTGTTATATCAGCAGACGAGAATGGCATGATTGAATACTGGCGACCAGGAGGGAATTACGAGAAGCCCGATAATGTTTTCGAATACAAGTCTTCCACTAGTTTGTTCGAATTTAAGAAGGCGAAATCAACACCCACTTCTCTTACAATTTCTCCAACTGGCTCGCAGTTCGCGACTGTCTCATTCCCCGATCGCAAAGTTCGAGTGTTTGATTTTCCAACTGGAAAATTATATCGTACCTACGATGAATCGCTGCAGGTTATCGAAGAAATGCAACAGGCAGGAACATCATTGAAGAAGTTAGAAGATCTAGAATTTGGCCGCCGACTTGCTACAGAACGAGAAATTGAAACGCCAACTCTACGAAATAAAGCTAATGTTATATTTGACGAGACGGGACACTTCATAATATATGGATCAATACTCGGCGCAAAGGTTTTGAACACTTATACGAACCGAGTCGTGAAGGTCTATGGAGGAGATGAGAACTTTAGACCTCTTAATATTGCAATGTACCAAGGTCAACCACAGAAAAAAGGTGTCACAACGATTGCCATGGCAGCGTCCAACAATCCTCTTCTGCAGGAATCCGAACTTCGGGATCCGATATTATTTGCGACGGGAGTTGGGAAAGTGCGATTTTACATGTTCACGAATGACGAAGAAGTCTCCAAATCTGAACGCGATGTTCAAAATGAAAAACCTACCAACACAAATGGGAAGAAATTGGCAGAGGCAAAAGCCGCCGAGACTGGAACTGCAGCTGTTATTCACACCACATACGGAGATATCCATATACGCTTATTCCCCGATGCAGCCCCCAAAGCCGTTGAGAATTTTGTGACACATTCGAAACAAGGTTATTACAATAATACCATCTTCCACCGTGTCATTCGAAAGTTCATGATCCAATGCGGAGATCCATTAGGAGATGGCACCGGTGGTGAAAGTATTTGGGGCAAAGAGTTTGCCGATGAATTCAGTTCTCTCCGACATGACAAACCTTATACCGTTAGTATGGCGAATGCGGGACCAAACTCCAATGGTAGTCAATTTTTCATTACCACGGAAAAGACTGTAAGTTCACAACATGTCCTCAAGATCTTCAATTGATCGTAAGACGTAATAAGTACTAATTAATATTCTTCTTCTTCTCCATATAGCCATGGTTAGACAACAAACATACCATTTTCGGAAGGGCAATTCAAGGTTTAGATGTCATTCACAAGATTGAAAATACGCGAGTGTATAAAGAGAAACCGGAGGAGGACATCAAAATTCTCAATATAGATATCATTTAGATGTCATATGAAGGAGAACATGACACAGTTATTGTACCGATATACTCGAGTAGGATTTGGACCATTCGAGACCTTGAGTCAGGTATTCATCTAGGAGCACTGATTAGCTTGAGAGAGAAATACCAAGATTACAAGTGAAGTTACTAGGAGATTTATTACCAACGGCGACAAGCTAGGACGTAAGCAAGGACACCCACTTTGTTCGATTATCCTTGATGTTAATCCGTCATTAGTCAAACATTTGAACTATCATTGGTCAATTGTTGATCAATGGTTAGATGTTTGGTCTTATCAGCATTAGGGCGTATTGGCAAAAGTATATCATATCTATTATCTAATCAGAAATATGTCGAGCTTCTCATTTTCTCCCCACCTTTCTACATCTTCTCCACAGATATCTATTCATCTTACCCATTCATCGTATCCATCCCTCACTTGTCCAAGGCTTTATTACCAATTTTCAATTGCAAAGTGCACTTAGACACTTGACTACCTAGATAAACTTCAACTTAAACGTTTATGAATCCTGTTCTTCCTTGGAAATCCAGAATCCTCCTCAAATTCCATCCGTCCATATTGATCGTCTTTCCTTGGGACGACTTCTTTCCCTTATTTTGATCGTTAGTATGTTGATACAGACAAATTCAATAGTGCTATCTACCAAATCGAAATCCAAATCCAATTCTACTTATGGCAAAAATCCGCGACAAATCAGACACTACCAACTTAAGTCAATGTCGGAAACCGGTATTGTCATTCGTTTACAAACTATTCGTTCATTCTCATCATGCCACGCCCAAAGAAAGTGGGAGCACCAGAACCTAAGAGAAGGAGTAGAAATGGATGTTGGTATGCTAATGGTAACGATGATTCATAGATTTTGGAACTGAATATAAATACCACTCATAGGCCCTGCAAAGCTCGCAAAGTCAAATGCGACGAAAGTCGTCCAGCTTGTGTGAATTGTTCGAAACTGAACGAAGTCTGCGATTACAGTATACGATTGAATTGGGAGGGCCGAGGCAAGAAAAGGGCTCAAAGTGATGTCATTACTACTGGGCAGAGTACCTTCTTGACCTCGAACCAAACAAATCCAAATGCAAGTAACAACCCTTCGGCTTCGGGGTCATATACAAGCTTCCGCTCTTCCCCCGCAGTATCTGCGCATCGTGATGAGCATTCAAGTCGCGACGATGGGGCATCTGTGGAACGTATGGCCGATACATCGATGATTGATCCCGCCTTGACCCGACCTGCATATCCACCCATTGTAACTTTCCAAGATACATTGCCCAAAGATTATGGTCGCCAAAACCAACACTATCCTCAAAGCTTCGAACGGTATCAATCCAGTGCCCCCATCACTCCACTCTCAGCTCAGTCACCTAGCCTATTGATATTTGGCCACCTTCAAGTTGCAGATGAATCTGGAAGTCCAATTTCAAACAGAAGCGCACTCCCGGGTACCGAAAGTCCATTGTCAACTCCTCCATATCTCGGAAGTGGTCGTGGAACGCCAGCGACTGAAAGCTCTATCGCAGATCGACCTGCTAAACGCACGCGATACGACAGTTCACTCCATAGTGCACGAATGCTTCCTCCTTTAGTATCCAATTCGGATCCCAACTACGACTCTCGAAATACAAGCATTCATACATCCGAGGTAGAACCTGAATCAATACGCGGGGTGGATATTGATAAGAACAAAGCTAGGCCAAGTCGTGAATTCTCACGCAGACTCTCGGTAAATTCACTGTTGTCGGGACCGCTTGATGGGACACCCTCTGAACAACCCAGCAATGGGAGAGGGTGGGATTACCAAAGTCAGGACTGGACACCGTACATGCATGATGTATACCAGGATACAGAAACATGGGGAATTGATCGAGGATTGGTAGACTTGGACATTGGTAAGAATGATGACATTAATGCAATATCAGAATCGTCTCCCAAGCTATCGGAAATTCACCAGGACTTTGATTCAGATAATGGAGGGGAGTTATCGCCAATGGAATTTGGCTTCGGTATGGAAATCAATGAGACAGCCCTTGAAGTTGGATATTATGACAAACCGGTTTCGATATGTATACCTCGTGTACTTCAACCACTGCCTGCGAAACTACTGGAAAATCCTATGAATCTACTTGTGAGTATTCTCATTATCAATCTTAATTCACCGCTGACTGAATAACAGTATTTGTAAGCCTTCTTTTCGCGAACTGGCTTTGAGCTGTACAACTAACCTGTCCTAGCATCATTTTCTAGACCATACAGCAGGCTGTCTGATACCACACAATTGTTCTTCTAATCCATTCCGAAGTATTCTGCCGCAGATGGCGGTTCGAGATGATGATTTGTTACATCTTCTACTTGCGTACTCTGCCACACATCGAGCCAGACTCCTAAGACATCCGGAACCTGCGACTCGTATAGCTTTATGGGTCAAAGACATCTTTCCTAACCTTAGGCACGCACTCGATGATCCGAATAAGATTACATCAAATGTTAACCTTGCCACGGTAATCATGCTCGCATCTTTGGAGATAATATCTCCAAAGGTCTTTGGAGTTGCCGTTCCATGGCAGAAACACCTCGAGTTCGCAAGACAAATGCTCGTTGCCAGAGGTGGAGCCCATCGTATGCAAACTATGTCCCGGAAAGATAAAGTCTCGTCTTTTCTATGGAGTTGGTTTGCATATTTGGATGTCCTTGGCAGTATGAGTGGAGGACAAAACCTTTCGTCCGCCTGGATGCTGGATTATGAAGCAGAAGATGAAGAGGATGGTTACCAGATTGATTGTATTCTAGGCTTCACTAGTCATTGCATCCGAATACTTGCCAAAGTTGCTAATCTTGCGCGTCAATGTGACGAGCGTCGCATTAATCCTGATTCAACGATTAAACAAGATTGGCAACCATCCGATGAAGTTGTGACCCGCGCGCACAAACTAGAAGCAGATCTTATCGAGTCGCGGCGTCACCCGGCGAAACCTTGCACCCACATGCAATCTAAGTCCGAAGCAGAATATGGTTGGGATAGTCTTGAGGTCGCTGCAACCAATGAGGCTTTTCATTCTGCTGGACTAGTTCATTTACATCGCAGGATACTGGGAAAACCCTCAGCACATGAGGATGTTCAGCATGCCGTTGGTGAGATACTTGGCTCCTTCAACAAGATTAGGAAAGGAAGTAGTGCCGAAGCATGCTTGTTATTTCCCATGTTCACAGCTGGATGTGATATATGGGATGACAAACAAAGATCGGATATCCTCGAACGAATGAACAGGGTTGAGAGGTACGGAATGACACAAGCACATAAAGCACGGAGATTGATGGAGCAGGTCTGGGAGTCTGGGAAACCATGGGAGACGTTGGTAGGCGGAGAATTCTTTGGCTGAACTTTGAAAATCTTACCGATTGAGCACGAATTCTCGGATTATTCCAAAAGGCCACGTCAAATGAGTAATACCAACACCTTCACAAAACCTCGCTGCATTTAGACGATGGAAAATCGCGCACGCAATCTTTCAGCCTACGACTTCATTTATGAGAGTGAGAGCCTAATCTTTCCACACTCTACTCTTTTTGAAAGTCGCGGAGTGTGCCATTTGATTTCGTCCTTGGTATGACGTTAAAAGGCCTAAGTCATTCGGTGTTGTACAATGCATGAGAATAGCAGTGAACAGGGCATTCAGAGTCTGTCTGAATAGCCTGACGGGCGCTAGGCGGACGATAGAGTCTCGGACCCCGGCGGACGTAAGCGCCTGTAACCTTACGTAGTGGAATCTTTTCTGAAGGAGGTAAGCGTGATAGTAAGCGACTCACCAGGATGGTGAGTCAACTTTGCTCCGGAGCCAGCGTTGGGGGCTAGGCCCCAGAAGATTAAGCTCCCTGGTTGGAAGTGAGTTGCCTGAATTCGCATCAGTCTACAACACATTTTCTTCCACCGTAGCAACACTACTAAGGAGATCAGTGAAGAGGCATGGTCACGCCTGCCACGGATTAGTCAAATTTTTCGAACTTCACCGCTGCAGATCCATGTAATTACATATTCATTGGCGCAACCAAAGGATTCATTGGTGCTTCTTAAGGAGGTGTTGTGAAAGTCGCACTTTTGAATGCACCAGATACCGGTGCTGTGGTGGTGAATGCGAACCCATCATTACCTTTCGTCGGGAACAAATGATGCCAGTATGAATGTTGACAGAAATGTTGTAAATTTCCGCGAATAGTTTGTCTATTAGGTGATGACCTTCCACTAATTAGCTGTATTTAATACTTTATATGGGCGAGAAATTGGATCTGACCGATTTCCCGCTCACATAGAGGATGAACTCAGACGGGAAAGATGTCACTAGATCTTATGTATCACAATAGACAACTTTTAGAAATTCTTTCAAGGACTGGTGTCATGTTCTTGATGATAGACACGATCGTGCAATGCGATGGAATGTGACTTTGGTTGTTGGGGGGTTGCGTGTGTTTATGAGACACTTTTTTGCTTCTCTAATTAACAAAGCACAAAAAAATAGTAAAATAAGGATCAAAAAAAGTTGGATCAAAGCCAATGGGTGGGGAAAGGGGTGCAGATTCAAACAACCACGAGAGTACTATTCAAGAAAGAATTAGTATACCGCTGTGCCAACAAGTACAAAGTTTCTCGCCCAATCTATCTCTCTGGTTAATCTACAGTCACTATCGTCAGGTGGTGTGACTATGATGATCTTAGGGATAGAGAGGCATTTTCCAAATTGATCAGAGTCTCTTGAAATAGGGGGAGGCTAGAGGTAATCTGACTGCTTCTAGTTTGCTTCTATCTCAAGACGAATTAGGTCAGTGTGCCCATAGGTGCACATTTTCCTGGCCAATCTGCAGTCACTATTATAAAATGATCTAGCTAGATAGAAACATTTTACGAATGAGCAGATTCGCTCGAAGTAGGGGTGGCCAGAGGTAATTTAATTACTTCTGGTTTACTTCTATTTCAACATGCACTGGGAAAGTACTGTGCTGACGAGTACAGTCCAACTTTCTTGGCAATCTGCTCATTGCAAGCTTTTTCTTCCTTCTTCTTTTAACCCTTACCGGTGACTATGAATAAAAAGAAGAAGATGGGGATGGGGATGGGGATGGGGGTGGGGGATGAAGGCACCTTTTTCGACTTAGTCGAAAAACGCCGGATTCGAATCTAGACGTAGATACCCAGATGTAGATGGTCAATGGATGAAGGGGTGGGTGGGAATAAAAAACTTTCGAACAGCAAATGAGGTTTCGAGATGAAGTTGAAGTCTGGTTAGTATCAGAGAATATGAGAATTGATATCTTTTGGGAATTTCCTTGGGATCTGGGAGTAACGGATTGCGATTAGTAATTTGGAATAAGGCCTTTTCCGGATGAATTTTGAGATCTGTATGTCTGGGTTTGGCGCCGGTTTTCTTGGGAGGGGGAGATTCTTGGGGGCTCAGAGAACGGAGATTTTGGTAATTAAGGAATGGAGTTTGTTGTTTGAGGTTGGGATGAGTGCGGTGACATGACGTGTCTTGTGAAGTGAGGTGAATTGTGTGAGATTATGTTGTGTGTGGTGATGATTTTGTAAAGTTTGGAGTTTGATGGTTGGTAATTGAGGTGTGAGGTGTGCGATATGATATGAAATGAGGAATGCTTTGAAGTGTACTGGTGGATGTTTTCATATGTCGTTTTCGACAATTAGTTTGCAGGATTATGATCGATATTAACAAAGGTGATGGTTAGGAGCCTTCGTATCAGGCTTTAGAAGGCGCATTGGTTGGAGATAAGATTTTGAGGATGATACGGCTGAGGTTCGATGGATTCAGGGAGGCTTGATGGTGGGTTGTGTTTGGGATGGAATCTGGAAGTGGAAACGGAGGAGTGTTGATGGTCGATGGTCGATGGTTGAAAAATTGAGATTTATGCCCTTTTCTGATATGGGAGGGGGTTTCACGTTCAAGAAAAAGGGGGGTTGATTTGAGCTGAGTAGGGGGAGGTAGGGTTGAGAGTATGGATCTGGGTGAGGATATGGGCGAGGTGGAAGGAAGGTATGTGAGAGAGAGGAATAGAAGATGAGATATTTAAAAAATGAGATGTTTGGGGTATGAATGCGATGATGGATGCGATGATGCGCATACCTAGACTTGGAATCTAGATTTACGAGAAGGAAGCGGGCTTGATATGCGTTATCTCTACTCGTTCTGCTCTGCCCTTCTCTACTATACTCTAAAGTCTAAATCCCTATATTGTCTCCTGGCGAGTTGTCCGATTCATCCGATTCCTGATGATTTGATTGTGACATTGATGTGATGTACAACAAGGATTTTGTCTATTGTTTATCGGGGGGTTGGCGATGTTTCTGGAAATACCTAGATAGGTACTGTAAAGTTTCATTGCCACAGCTTTCAATCCTCAGGCTCTTTTTCGAGTGTGTATATTGTAGATCCTCATTCCCTCCCCCCCTTTTTCAAATATTCCCTTGGGGCTTTCTCTTTTCTGATAAGCTCCCTCATCCTTCTCTTTTAGATCCTGGTCCTCTTCTTTGGTTGGTAAGAGGAGAGGAGAGGAGGTGTGTATCTTACACACCCAATTTGGGATTTGGAATATCAAATCTACTTGGCCAATGGCCGTTGAAATTGTCACCCATGACCATCTATCCAACATTTTGTATATTGACACATCCACTCAAGGATTCGAATGCAACCAATGCGCACTAGTACACTTCGTTTTCGAGGTCCATTCCCTTATTCTTTCCAAATTCCATCCGGAGATATACTTCTGATCATCTTCGTTCTTGGGTAATCGCTTCCCGCCAATTCGGATTGTGTGGGATAATGCGCAGGTATCGCCGTGAGAAACGAATTGGAAACATAGCTTGTCTGCGATACAGGCTGCTTTGCATTGTGAGAAGGATACTGGAGTGCCTTTGTTGTGATATATTTTCCAGCCTTCGTCTGTGTTTTCCCAATCGTTCATTTGAGGGACTAACTGGGGAGCGATGTATTCAAATAGGTCTTTGAAGAGGAATGGTTGCTATGTGAATATATTTAGCAGGAATGGACTTTAAATGGGGTGTTGGAAATATGTTTTTAAGAGGTATTCATGTATGAGTGGAGACTTCCTGAGTTCATAATGTATTTAATTCTCCTTATTTATCTGGGGTAGAAGGGGGTAAAATAAAGATTTATATACCATGCTCATTGTACAGGCTTTCCAATTTTCAATCCATAACCACAAGTCTTCCATGTCTGTCCCAGTGAGGTGATGTAACGACAGTACAGGCTCACACCAGATTTCGCTCCCAAAACCAAGAGTTGACGGTACTTCTCCATTAAACATTGGCCAATAGCCTTTAAGCATGATACCTATCTCCTTTAGTGCTTTCCCAAGAGCTTCATCACCACAACACAAGGCTGTTGTGTTCACGCCGAATTGACTGTACATTGGTTCTCTATCGCCCTCTATGTCATGCATATTAAGTGACTCCAAGGCACTATACGAGAGAGCATATGCACTACCGCCATGAGCAAATGGTGCTTTAGGATCAGCCCAGACGGGACTTCCTATGTATAATTTCTTTTGGGGGTCTAAATTCTCCAATAACGCAAGGAGATTATCCCATTCGACAAAAGTGTCTGTGTCAATGAATACATACCATTTTCTTCTTGGAAGAGCAGTGCTAGTCTCTCCCAGCATCTTCCAGATCTTTCGCTTTATAGCCATATTCTTATACTTGGCCAATTTCCATCCGCCTTTGAGCTCCCTGGTATCTTTCCCCAGCTGTTGATACCTCTGCAGTTCATCGTAAAATGTGAATTCAGGATAATCCATTCGTTCGCGTATCGAGATATCCGCTAGCGCATCAAGAACATGAAAAGAACCAACCTCTTCTTCCAAATCCGAAAAGATCAAAATATTCTGACGAGGAACCTCAGACATCAGAGTGGCAAGTTGGTACTGCAGTCTACTTTGGGGTTCCGAGCCGCCGGTTTCAATCACTATTTGCACATCTGATGCGATGGAGGCTCGCGAGGCCGTACATGCTTTGCTGAAGGGGGATAGTTTGTGACAGCTGCGATCCCAGACCCAGGTATCGAAGCGTCGTTTTGGGAAATTGGGAAGAGGGATTCTAGTTGCGAGGAGGAATGTGAGGATGAGACATATTGTGGCTTTGAGAAACTTGTATCTTCGTGAGCGCATTGGGTAGCGAAGAACCATTGTTGATTAATGTGGTGGCTACAGGAGATGCGGGTAGATACTTTCTAATGGGTGATTTCGACACTGTTAGAGCTGGCGAATTTTGTTCATTTTGAGGTCAAAGAGGGGGAGGAGGAAGCGCATTGGATGCTCCAAGTACATAGAGGCAGTCATGGTCTGCCTATATACAACACGAGAAGAACATTAGCCTATCTATCTTACACCCGACAGCTTGGGTCGTAAGTGGTGGTTATCATTCATAATTATCGAATTTCTCGCTGATGAACCATCCAATCTCTTAATATACTGCGCCGATAATACTACATCGTGAGAACCAACACTTTCAAAAATCTGACTGTGCTTGCTGACTTTTAGTGCGGTACGTAAGATATAATTGAGCTATGGACAAGGACACAAGCGGGGCAGAATAGGCAGTGTTTTGGTCCCCTGCATACCGCAGATTTGGTTATTAGGTGGTAGGTATAGTTATCAAACGCAACTCCATTCTCCTTCTACCCCATTGGCGACACCACCGCAGAATTCTCAACACCTACCAAGATAGGCAGTTCGCCGAGATGCTTAGTTATGTGATCCTTGCAACATGTCGTGTTTTTTTAAAAGTCTAGCATTTTTCCTCACATGTTCTGGGAAGATTGCTGAATTTGATCCACTTTTCTAGCTTGTCGTATTGGTGATGAAAAGTTCCACTTCTTCGACCGAACAATTTATGCGGCTATCGGAATCACTCCGCCGGAAGATATCAGAGGATCCGTCGGCCTTAAAAGGGGCTTGATGCTAGTTTGATTTTCTCTTGAATTAAGCTTTTGGACGGATATATATATTGACTACTAGAAACGATACCTAATCACATTGATCAATTGAATGTGAAAATAGATATATGTAAGGTGTCGAATTACGAATAAAATGTTAGAAAAATTATGAAATTATTATTTGTACGAGTACAATGGAGTGACATTCTCTGAGCAGCCAACTCCGTTGATCTTCCTCGTACTCGCTAAGATACCTTCCACTAGTGCTGATATGAGGCATTTAAAGATTTATGTTCTTCCTCGCAAAATTGTAGGCTGTCGAGGCTGTGTCTAAATGCATTGCCATAATAAGTCGAAATACTCTGAATGATTGTTGAAGGGTTTTCCGGATGCTGTTGCCGAAGAAGTGGGTTTGGAATTGTTCAGATGTGATATCAGCACAAGATATGTTTGGTAGTTGTTGGGGTGGTGTACTGTTGATATGCAATATGAAGTCATCGCATTGTATTGTCAGCAAGCTCCGGCTTCTTGAATGTTTTTATTTTGTGTACTGTTGGGAACACTATTCGCGAGGGGTTAAGCGAGGGGTAAAGTCTTTAAGAAGGACGACTTTTGGAGAGTAGAATCAGTGATTGCTTATCTGATTTTTTTTTGAATGGTATCGTCTTATGGTCATTGAGATAATATCCTCGAGACCATCTGTCGCAATAACGATGAATATATTATGTGTGGTACGCAGCGAGCGCATGCTTCTCGTCGATATAGATTTCTTGGATTTCAACCTTACTCTAAATACCTAGATATCCAAGTGTCTTATTCATCTGAGTAGTTTGGGCAGTAATCAATTATTGCCATTGAGATGATATTGGCGAGTTTAGTCATGATGTTTGGATGGAGAGGAGAAGAAAATCCAGTGCTTATACTGACTCAAAAGTTTGAGAATGGTACACCAGTGGTACTTTAGGCGGAAAGTCAAGAGCGTATGCGTATATCTCTTTGAGGTGTTAGTTCACTCATTGTTGGATATGGTACAATCATATTGTAAACTGTATACGCTTAGACTTGAGTTGTCTCAAAAGTACGTGAAGTGTACTAAAGTTCTGGCTACATTGGGTGCTTCAAAAGTTCTATGCAGTTGCCTTTGGACGTATCAAGAATCTGGGACAGTTCGCTCTGCTGCTGTTAAGTTCTGTGAATTGATTAAAGCTCGAAAAATCTGGAAATCAAGAGCCTTCTAATGATCAATACTCAAACGATGATTGGTTGCACTGTTAGTGAATTCGAGATGTTTCTGCCGCACTTGTTTGGTCACCGAACTCTATGGAATTTTATCAAATTTGACAAAACCATTTGCAACGAATTTGCAATATCATTACACATTCCCAAAGATATCAAATGTCTGAAGCGGTTCTTACCAAGGTACGGAAAATATCACAACAAACTCCTTGATAGTGCTATCAACGGTTGTACCTCAGTACCGAAAGCTCCTCTTGGAAATCATATCTCGCGGCGATTCACTGCATGAACCAGTTACCATGGACATCTCGAATTTCTCAGACCATAACCAGACTGGACTTATAGTCGAAACGAACTCATCCCATCCAATAAAGCTTTCTCTCAAGATCTTCTTTTCCATATTTGTATTCCTTCTCGATATAAATTCTCCAGTGCTATATCCCGCTGTCAACGCTTGCTCTCTCTTTCTCTATGTATACATGGAGTTCACAAATCCAGCATACAGCATGACACATCCCACGGTTTCTGACAACGAGCAATCTTCGACCAAATTCCTCCGACACATCCTCTTTACGATCGACTCCTCATTGAAATTTATCGATTCGCAGACGCCGGAACAGAGAATACTTTCTGGTATGATGGTTCTATACAATGGTGTCAATGTATACTGGTATGGTTGGAGGAAGCACAATGTTGAGAATGAACCAGTGGAAGTGCGAGGGTTAGGGAAGACTCTGATAAATGTGGAGGATCAAGAGATGGAGATGAGGATGGAAGCTTTGGTGCCAGGGAGGTACAGCATGGGGATGAATACAAACTTGTAGGTCTGATGGATGATATAGGCGCGAGAAGGGAGAAACAAGGGTGGAATTACGAACGTTGGAAACTCGAAAGTATGACATTTTTGTTTATCTCTATCTTGCTACGACATCGACTGACAAGCCATCAGGATAGATTTGGGAGTTGGATATTTTTGAACTTGCGTAGGCTGCCATGCCAGTCCGTTATCATTTCATTCAAAATCGTTAGCTTTATCTACACTTGGTTTTGAGAATTGAAAAATATCATGCGGGACTCTTTCAATCAAGTTCTTTTTCCTTGATTTAGTGCTTGTGATCGTAGAATAGCCAGATTGAAGTACTTAGTGAGAGTATTCGCAATGAAATAGTAAGTGGTAGAATTTGAACTTAGTTTTCTTAGATGGTCATAGTGGTATCTTTGAAGGCCATGATAAGAATGTCTTTCAAGAATGTTCATGAAGCTGAGATTCAAGCATGCGTGTTCATAGAATTCGATCGAATAACCTAAATTCAACCAGTAAAGTGAATACTAATTCAATAGGTATTAATGAACCTTACACCATACAGCTAACTCAGCTAACGTGTTTCAAAATCTTCTTGTGCACTGTGGCCTCAAAGGCTTTACAAAAGGAAATCCACAACATCTGCAACATCTGCAACAAGAACAATCAAACTGCAGGAATTCTTAACACAATATCAAGAGCAACATGGACCAGAGAAACTTCATCAACGTCACGAGAATCAGCACATCGACTTTGACAACATCTTCACGAATTTGGCAACTCAACAAATGGCTCCGAATATCTCTTTCGAGGGCCAGCTCCCCAAGACTCTCAGTCGTAATACGCTGAATGATTCCGGAAGTAAGAACTTTGAGGACGGCAGCAACGACCGCTGTATGATTTACTACGTTACAATTTTCTTACTTGCACTGTTATGCGCGTCTTTGTACGGCATTTACCTGTGGATCAGAATTCTACACGTGGTGGTGTTAAGATCTCAGCGGAATCAGTTAAAGATCAAATTAGAGGAAATTGTTGAAGAAGTGGACAAAATTGATATGAAGATTCAGATGAAGGACATGAAGATCGAGATCAATAAAATGGAGATGAAAGTGGATGATCTTGAGGGAAAGGTGGATGAGAAGCTCACCCAAGAGCGACTTGATCATCAAAATAAGATGCTAGATCGGAAGACGCAGGCACAAAAGGAGAAAGATGACTTGCAGGTCGAAATTCTGAAGATCCAGGATCAGCTTGATCAACTTGAGCAATGGTTGAAAGAGGCCTTGGTGTACGTTCCTGGAAGGCAAGAGCAAAGATAATACAGAAGGTAGGATTACATCACCCATCCTTTCAATCTATAATACCGACTAATTAAAGTACTCCCAGGCAAACTCGAGGTGTCGACAAGAGATGTATTTCGACACTTTTTCCTCAGATGACCGACATTTGTTTTCTTCAACAATCTTACGGACGATGCATAAACGTTGGATATTCGTTTTGGCATATTTCTTTGGGCAGCCTGAGGACATACGCGGATGGGGTGGGTTTGTGATGATGTAGAGATCAAGAGATCACTGGCTTCAATGATGGATGATTTTTATGTAGACAAGACGTCTCCACTCGACTTCATTTGAGTAATTCAATCAAATACCCTTGCTTTTCAGAATGGATCTTGCTACATCTCAATATCTTCGTATGATGAAAAGGATGCTGTGCAGAAGCTCGACCAGCGCTTCCCCGTTTGTTGAGAAATATATGTATGAATAGTTTCAATTCGATAATTCGGCATCATCTTTCAGAGATTTTCTCCATTTGTCGGATCAAAAACCCATTTATAGGTAGGTACCTGCTGGTCATCTTCAAACTCGCCTAGCTTTCTGGAATGCTGAGCTACTCTACCGAGCCTAATACAAGCTTGTTAACATTGACCTCCCTGCTTTTTATGTACTGCTAGAACACTTCTAAAAGTGAAAACGCTGAGCACAAGAGTAGAATAAAATTTAATGTATAATAGCAGGCTCTCCGGATGCTCTCCAGAACAATCCGAATTTGCGGATGTATGGGGTGTTCTGTTGGGTTGTCTATATAAGGAAGTCTCAATTTGAACGGTTGATGTCCGATTGAAATAGGGGAAGCTTTTTTAGTCCCGAGGTCATGTTAAGTAATCAGATCAGGACAGCTGGTGAGCTACTTAAGCAGTAAGTCGATGATATCCGAAAACTCGTGACTTTAACCGAGCTTGAGACAAGCCAAGATCTGGGGTAAAGTGTCTGAGTGTCAATATTACCTCGGTGTTTCGGCTTTGCAGAAAGTTCTGTGGTCCCTAAGGTTCTCCACAAAGGCGTTGTGATGGATAAGGCAATCCTGACACCGCATATCTCCAGCCAACCAGATTGCTGATCAGTAACGTATTTAGGGAGATGAGTTTCCCTTACTTTCCTCCGCTGTGCTTTGATTTCTACATAGCCATTTTGTTCCATAGAGACCTCTATAATAGTTTATTACTTTCTTGTTTCTTACAATTGGTAACCTGCAGACAAACCGATAATATAAATACAAACAAAATATGCCTACTGCATCAACATATCCCCTATTAGATATCCCACAGGTGGATCTCTGGGAGTTTCTTTTCGAACGAAAAGATAGAGAATATTCAGATGATAAAGGTACCGATTACATTCTGCAGTGTTGATTATCATTTCTATGAAATGAGCCTTCATAGATCAATGACTGACTCTTTGCTTCTCCAGCAATTTACACGGATGCCGAGACGTCACGGTCATACAACTACAAGCAACTGCGAGATACTGCGATAGAGTTTGGAAAAGGTCTGAAAGCTGTTTGGGAATGGAAGAAGGGCGATGTACTTGCACTTTACACACCAAATTGTATCGACACTCCTGCTATCTTATGGGGAACCCATTGGGCCGGCGGAATAGTCTCTCCTGCGAATCCCGGATACACTGTCGAGGAGTTGACCTTTCAATTGAAGGATTCCGGGGCAAAAGGGATTGTTACACAGAAGCCTTTTCTGAAAGAAGCACAAGCAGCAGCTAAAAATTCCGGTATACCTGAAGATAGGATCATTTTGGTGGGTGATGGAAGGGATGAGACGCACCGCTTTAAGCACTTTACGAACGTGCGAAATTTGGCTGGCACATCAAGATATAGGAGGACAAAGAGTAAACCAGAGGATCTAGCATTTCTGGTTTACAGTAGTGGGACGACTGGTCACCCGAAAGGAGTTATGCTTACGCACGGAAACATTGTTGCGAATACCTCCATGGCAAACGCAGCTGAGAAGGGCAATCTAAGTTGGAAAGGCGGAAATGATGGCAAAGGCGACAAACTTCTGGCCGTTCTCCCCTTTTTCCACATCTATGTAAGTCACTTCGCTACTGCAAGGTTGCCGGTTTTGCTAACTACTTTCAGGGCTTGACATGCATTATTCACTTCTCTCTCTATATGGGTTTGGAATGCATTGTGATGGAGAAGTTCGAGTTGGATAAATTTTGTCAAACGATACAGAACTTTGGAGTTACATTTGCTTACGTGGTTCCCCCTATTGTTCTCATGCTTGGAAAGAGCCCAGTAGTTTCTAAATATGATCTATCATCTGTTAGGATGATGAGCTCAGGTGCGGCGCCATTGACACGAGAACTTGTTGATGCTGTATATGCCCGTCTCAAGATACCAATCAAGCAAGGTTATGGTCTTAGCGAAACAAGTCCTACCACTCATCTTCAGCCTTGGGAAGATTGGAACAAATATCCAGGTTCTGTCGGACGTTTACTATCAAATCAAGTAGCAAAGTATATGAATGCCGAAGAAAAAGAGGTTCCGGCAGGACAGACTGGTGAGCTTTGGATTAAGGGGCCCAATGTTTTCAAAGGTTATTTGAAGAATCCCGAGGGTACTAAGAACGCGTTAACAGAGGATGGATATTTCAAAACTGGAGATGTAGGACATCAGGATAAAGATGGCAATTTTTACATCACTGATCGAGTCAAGGAATTGATCAAGTACAAAGGTTTCCAAGTACCACCGGCAGAGTTAGAAGGACTCCTCATCTCTCACGAAGATATAGACGATGTTGCAGTGATCGGTATCTACAACGAAGAACAAGCAACAGAAGTACCAAGAGCTTATGTTGTCCCAAAGAAAGGAATTGCGGGCGATAAAGAAGAGGAAAAGAAGATCATGGCATGGTTGCAAGCGAAGGTCGCAAGTCATAAGAGGTTAAGGGGCGGAGTTAAATTCGTGGACGTGATTCCCAAGAGTCCCAGTGGAAAGATTTTGAGGAGACTCTTGAAGGATCAGGCATTGAAGGAAGGGGAAAAGGCGAAGTTGTAGAGTGGGACTAGATGCATATAAATATTGAAAGTTGTAGACTTTTCCTCTATCGGAAATATTGGATGATTCCAAATATCTCGAGATGATTCAAATGTCTTTCTCGAGATAATTGATTTGTTTTTTATCATTTTCATTTCTTTTTGTGTTCACATCGGGATTGGATAGTATGAGACATCCCGAAATCCGGGGTCGGCTAGAGGTCGGGCAGTAAATCGGAATCTCGGTGGTGCGGCCGCGTCATAATTTATCTTTACAAACCCAACCACAATTGATATTTTGTGAGGCTTCTGATTTGTGAAATTGATCAATATATTGATTGTTACTCGACAAAACATGGCAATCATTCGTTCTCCGGCAATCCGTCGCATCATCTCAGGTGCGCCCCCTTATCTGCGAGCTTCGCAAAAAAGATGGGCACAAGTTCATGATGTCCGGTTCTTGGCCACTCAGCAATCAGACAGAGTGTTGGAAAAGTACAAGGAGAAGCTTGAACAGAAAGCAAAAGAGTAAGAAGTGAAAATCAGTAGATGCTATGCCTGTAGCTTATGAGATTCATAGGGAAGGTCTGCGAGACGCCAATGAACTGAAAGAAGTCTACAAATCCAAAATCGAAGAGCTGAAAAAGAAAGCCACTGTTGCTATTCCTACTCCTACGAATGCCCCTCCCACCCCACCACCATCCCCGACCACTTCGTCACCTTTTCCTGCACCTCCACCACCGCCTCAAACTCCGCCCGAGAATGCGCCCTCTTCAACTCCTGGGCTGAAGACTTTGTCCTCATACCTTGATCTCGAGAAGGTCCGCGATTTATCACAAGAGAAGATTGAGGCACTCTGGCGATACCGACATGCCAGCGATCCCAGGTCATTGTGCGCAGTTATACCCCTAGATACATATAAAACGATTGAGAAGACCGCCAAGAAATTCCCTCACTTCATTCTCCCACTTCCAAAGGAGGGACAAGGTGCTGAAATTCATTTCTTACAATGGACTTTCCCAGCTGAGAATACCGTCACTGTCCTATTCACACATCTTGCGGAATACAAATTGAGAGGAGAATACAGTCAAGCGCATACTACAATCACACATCATTTAGAGCTAGAGAAAGAGAAAGGCTTGGTGTTGTTACAGGGTCAGGTTGTTGAAGGAAGAGGTGTGAGCGTGGATGAAGCGAAATGGTTGATTATGTGTTTGCAGAAGTTTTATGGTCCGGTTGGGGAAAAGAGTGATAGACGTCGACTATTAGAGATGTTTGGAAGAGGTGATCCGGCTTTCAAGGTCGAGGATTTGGTCGAGGAGGCCGAGAAGATTATATAGAGGGGGCCTAGGCATTAACGAATTGTACGATACGACCAGACGACTTGAGACATGATCTGGGGTTGGAGTTTGGCTCAGTCTTGTAAGCATGTGATGACTCTTCTCTCCCATAACAAGTATGTGTCATAGTGTATGGAATAAAATGTACTGAGTTTGCAAGCTCCAAAGGAAGAATATCATCATGCGGAAGCTTAAAAGTTGTTTCTCACACTTGCTCGAATGGATAATACGACATTTCGCATTCATTCTTCACCAAATCAGCACTGCAAGATACATTGGTACTTCAGTAGTATCGCAAAATGAAGCGGTTTTCGAAGTCCTCGATTGATGATGCGGCATTTTCGATGTTTCGCCAGCTATATTATACAACATCAAGAATCACGGCGGATTCAAATATAGTTCACATAAATCGCAAATCATGTATTGGTAGGAAATTATTATTTTAAATTGGAATTAGTCTATACAATTGTCCCATATCTCTCACAATTATATCAACTTCCGCAAAACGAATGCCAAAACAATTTGGAAAGTCCTTCCTCATCCACATTTCTTGAGCCTCCACCATTTTATTTCCAATCCGCCATTCCGTAAGGGTTAGAATCACACTCTGGGACTATTTTGACTTTACTAGTGTTAGTAGTGGTGATATTGGCAACGACTTCATCAGGATCCACCACATAAAGAATCTCCGCCTCCTCTTCGAATGGCTCGTCGACTGGTAGCTCTGCCGCAATAACTTTGTCTCTATTCTCTTTATTAAGAGCAGGTGAGTATTTCTCAAGATAGTTGTCAGTATAGTATACTCTCGTATCAACAGCCCCATCCCAATCCTCTTCTAACCAAACGACTGTCCAATCTGCAAAAACCGGTTCCATTTCCAGCTTATCATCTTCCAGAAACAAAACAGCACCGCATTCCTTCAATGCTTTCTTGATTCTCATAATGTATCGCTCTGTTCGCTGGTGAAAATTCGCCAAGATCTCTTTGTCGAAACTTGGGTCCAGACAGCCTAGAGTGTACAAGAGCTCTTGGAAAGCGACAAGATTGCCTCGTGTTCCAGCTGCATTGTTGACTCGCATCCAAATGGTAATAGTCTTCTTCTCTTTGGGACCAAATGGCTTGACAGGATCTCGAGGCGGTAATTTTGGTAGCAACGTATTTGTGGGATCGAATTCCTGGGTAATAGCTTCTGATTCAAGCTGAGCGTCTGGATTTTGAGGTTGTATTTGACCATCAACGGCGTTGTTTCCTGCATCTTCGAGCTCTCTGAGAGGCTTTCGGGCTCTCGACTTCGGCTGCGGAGTGTTGATGGACAGAAATTGGTTTGTGCGAGGTGTTGTATTTGCGGTAGCGCTTGCGGTTGCGTTGGCCTTGGTCTTGGTCTTGATCATTGCCTCATCTATATCGTTTGATCGTTTCCGGATTGCAGCGACTTCTTTTTCTGCGAACCTAGATTTACTGGGCGCATCTTGTGCTGATGGTACCGGTTCCAATTGTGCTGGTTGTGCTGCCAATTTAGACACTTTAGACTTTAGAGTGATGCTTTTTCTCACGGTAGGTATTGCATTTGTCTTGCTCTTAGTCTCTAGCTTAGTCTTGCTCGGTGTATCGTCCACGTAGACAGAGGTTGTGGACTTGTCAGACTCAACACTAACAGGCGAACGTTTGTTCTTTGCCTCTTTAGAAGGACTGACTGATTGTTTTCCGGGCGCTTTGAGAAGCTTTTTCGATACTACTAGAGTCTCCTTGGTCTCTGCTTTCTTCTTCTTCTTGATTGGCTCATCATCTACAGAGCCAGCTGTGGTAGATTTTGGAGATGGAACGCTGATTCGCGAACTTTTCTTCTTACTTTCTTTCTCTGAAGGATCGATTGGTTGTTTCTGGGTCGCTTTTAAAGGTGCCTTAGCTGCTTCTGCATCTTGCTTGAGTGTGAGGATGATCTTCAACTTCGGTTTTGGTTTGGTAGTTTCCGTGTTGGTGTTATTAGTTCCAGTCTTGCTCGACGCGTTATCTGCAGGAATCGAGGTGGTGGACGTAGGAGACGCGCCATTGACACGAGCGCGTTTAGGTTGACGTAACTCTGCGGAAGAACTGACGGATCGCTTCTTTGAGATCTTTGGAGGCATCTTGTTTGTATAATAAAGTTGAATAATTTGATGAATTTTATTCAAATACTTTATTATTTTGAGTTAATGATGAAAGAGATCAAATTTGGGTTGAAGGGAAGAATCGTGTTGAAATATAGAAGTAGTTGTTGTAATTGAAGTTTCCTGTATTATTCACAGGGAGCGCTACAAGGAGCTCTTGTTAAGAGCCTTTTGAAGATGGACGTAGCAAACTTGAGGGTTTACGGTATGGTAGATACAGCGGCTTGTGACGACGCTAGCGTGCGTTTTCTTGTACTAAGAAATTTAATTTTTATTCCAGTTGATCACATGCGGAACTGAAAAGGGTGGAAAGCGGAATGGGATGGGATTTAGAAGTGAAGAGAAGAAAAGTTGAAGTGAATCTTCGAGATGAAACAAGGTTACCTAGGTATGTTGGCTAAATACACAAGTAAGATGAATGTAGGCGAAGGTGATAGTATGATAATGTTTCAGTCAAGCTTTTCCGATGAAGACTGACATCTCCATGTTTCCATTTAAGTACCGTGGATCTTGGGGTTTGGGAGGTATTCGAAGTGATGGAAGCGTTTTGCTCAGTTTTGCAGAATTAGGTTGGCTGATTAGGTATTTATCGTGAGTCTGTAGTATCGATGTGTTTCGTTTCATACTTGGACTGTCTCATCTAATCTGCCGTCATGTTTTCGAAGTACGTCAACAGCTTGTATTCTATTGCTATCATCTAATCAGCTATCTTGTGAAGAAACGCTTCATATTTCATCTTCAACTTTGTCTTCGTCTCCTCATGCAGAATTTACGCCTTTTCGTCAGGTCAATCTCTCCAAATAAATCTCATCTCGTCAGTTATATATGTTCGTACAGCTACTCGGTAATGCATGACGGAACGTCAAAGTAAGGATAGGATGTAAGCGAGAATGAAGTCACTACATCAGGCAGCTAAGACCAATAGTTATGTATTTTCTATCTATTAGCATTTTTACCAATAAGCTAAATTTTTGTGATTGGAAACCTCGCTGCTCTCTACAGTCACATTTCTCATTGCGACATCTCTTCGCTATAATTCACAGACTGTACTTGGCCATCGAAATTTAGTCTTGCAAATCGCTACACACCCTTGAACACAACACGTGCATCCTTCTGATGAATTCTACAATAAGTTGTGACTTATTGTCTTTGATTTTATCGGCGTCCAGTTGAAGTAAGCTATCAGAGAAGATGATCGAGTGGTTAGTTGGTCAAATTTTGTCGAATTGTGTACTATATGGTGCATGTATCAGTCGTGTCAGGGTCGCATGCATCAAATAGTCCGCAGGCTTCGGTGCTGATGTTTATCGATTTCCAGCCGACCACAAGACTGCAAGATCCGGATGAACGATCTTGCCTGGTTAGTTGCGTATCTTAACCAGCATAAGAATCATAGTAATCAAAGAGGTATATAACTAGTAGGATGACAGAGGATTTTATTGCAATTCTGCTGAGTAGGTAGTCATAGCTAGGGTTTTAAGCTATCAAAGAACATGAGGAACTTATCATTAACTATTAGTAGGTCAATTAGCAACAGAAAACAAGCAGGACAACGTCTAAAGTCTCAGTTGCAAGTGATCCTCATATCAGCCATTCTTTAGGTGGTTCCAAGTCCTCCAGTAAAACATTTTCGGTTCCCAAACCAGAACAAATATGATTTCCAAGAGTATCCGCTATCAACTCATCTTGAACCAGTCGAAACATCATTCCGGTTCTTTCCTGCAGCTCAGCTGCTTTAGGTCGTAGTAGCGGCTCTTTCATACAACATTCCATAATCAGTGCTCTGAGCATCTGCGAATACGCATTTTTTATATCCTTTTCATCTTCAAGATAATATGCCATATTTACACCGCTTCTAAGCCTCTCATTATAATTCACCGCATAACCTTGGGGGGGCATAAAAACAGATACTTGGCTGTCTAGTAGACCTAGCATGATGAGTCCAACCATGTAAACGTTAGAGCAAGTTCCGTGGCGGGGATGATCAACATCAACTTTTCTTTGTTCCTATTTGAAGTGTTAGTTCATTTTGCTTTCGAGGATTTGATGTTAAAAATTCTCACAGGAGGTCGACATGCTATGGCACCCCTCTCTTGTCTATCTATCTTGGCAGTGTCATCGGTCTGAAGATCTAATCTTCTGACTTCCATTGCATCTCCGAAATCCCCAATCTGTCATCAACCACCTTGGTTAGTGCATCTAGCTTTATTTGATTACACAATATACTTGTACATACCTTTATAACAGGGCAGCGCTTATGTACTTTATCGCAATACCCAATAAGTACTTGAAGAAAATTTGTTATTAGCGCTCAACATCTCTAAGACGAATTGAGTATTTACCATTGCTTGTGATCATATCATAATGACCAATCTCGTCTCTATCCCACCCGTTCTCGCTGAGATCTTCTGTTCCACGATCCAAAACTGTTACAGCTTGAGCCAAACAATAAAAAATCGACCACATATCAGTTTCCGAGACAGGAAACCTCATCTCCTTATCGATGTGTATGTCCAGTAAGGATGATAAAGCGCCGCCGGGGCACATTTCGAGGAAATACATTACATGTCCTCTGTCATCCATTTTGGGGGGACCGTACATATGAACAATGTGCTTCGTTGGAATCTTTCTCAACAAGTCTAAGAAAGCCGCTTCCCCTCGCAGACCAGTATAGGAGTCTGGATATACCTCATAGCCATCGTAAACAAGTTTGACAACCACTTGCTTCAATTTCGGCGCATTCTTTGCCTTTGGATCACCACGCCACTCCCACTATCAGAGAGAATTATCAGCCAAATTCTTTGGTATGGAATTCATTCTCTAGTTCTAGGAATTGATTCTGCCTGCAAAGATTCTACTCACAAGTGAAGCCCCACCCCCTGCGCCCGCACCCAAAGTTTTTGATATCACCCAACCATCCCCAAGACGATTTTTCCATAGCGGCTCTCTCGTCTGCCATTCTTTGAAGTATTCATTGAACTGACTCTCTTTACGTGTCAAAGCGTAACGAAAGTGCTTTTCGATGCTTAGAATGGGAGCTGGGTTGGACATTGCGTTACTAGTATATTCGATGAACTACCAAAGCTCTTGAGATGTATTTGATTGTCAACAATTTGATGGTGATGATTTTGAAAAGGAATTAGGTTCTTTGTAAATATTTTCTTGTTGGGTTAGTTCGTCAGGAATCAAAGGCCATCGAGTGTGGAACAAAGGGAAGATAATCTTCCTCTCCTTTGACAACATTAACATATCCGAGTTCGAGAACATTCAATTCGTACTTGAAAGATGTGAAAATACGATGTTAATTTGATTTTTATAGCCATGATAATCAAAACTTCTACCTAATCGCAATCATAGTTTCAGATTCTGTGAGACCATTTTCGTGTCGGAGCTTTTGCAAAAGATTCTTTTGTACACTGTGAGATGTCTACGGGTTATAATAGGTCATATTATATAGTTATTCATTTATATGGTCTCTATATCGTGTTGATGTCAGATCATAGCTCCTTTAATACTAAGAGACATGTTGAGAGCCCCGCTCCCTTCTTTATGTGACGAGGACAACGAAAAAGAGACAGAACGGGGGTTGAAAAAAAAACGGTATTCAGCCAGGATTCAGAGCAATAGATGCGATATACCCCCATAACTAATAATTGTACTTGATATCTCCTTCCAGACAGAAAGAACACATCAGCATTTAAAGGTGAGGGGTTAGTTGGCTATGTCATAACTGCTTTGTAGTACTATTTGTAGTACTACAGTAGAGAGTAATTTCCAGGAACAATAGCGAAGATAATAGATATCCACCAAATCTATGATAATTAATACTAAATCAATAAATTCATATGTTATCCAATCTATTCATTGCCAAAGGGGTTTAACGGGAGAGAGATCCGTCTACGCCCTCTATCTGGTCCAATCATGTGAATATCACTCTCACTATTGCCTTTTAGACATTCAGAGCCTCTCGGATCACTCCAGATCCTATCATATAGAATGTAATTTACTGTAACAGACAAGAAACCAACGATCATGTAAAACCAACCAATCCTATGGGCACCCATATCCTCATTTGTCAGAAGTCCTCTAGCGAGCCTCATTTCAACACACGAACTACACGTCCTAACACTCAAGCATTTGAAATTCCATTCATTCTCTCTACACATCTTGATCTCTTAACCATCACTCAACGAAATAGCTATTCCAATATTATCCGACAAATCAGAAAAAAGCTTTCATTTTGAAGTGAAGTTGGGATTTTGGAGAATAAAGAGCTGTAACTGATGGAACGGATAGTTACGTCATTGCATCGACTTTGTAGGGAGTAAGTCAAACCATTCCCCTTCAAATAAATCAGGGCTATATCTCTTACTAGGTGTGTGAAAGTTCGGGGCTTTGATAGCTCTGATTCAGAGCGGACCTATTAATGATTGTGTAAGCAGACTTGAGGACTGCTGAAGGACTATCACCACTGCGAGCGATAGTTCAATGTATTTAGGGTAACAAAATAGAAGAGATCTGGTATTTTTCTATAAATTTGAAGGACCATTGGATACTACTGACTCATCATTTCGAATGTTAGAAGGTGAAGGCAATATAAGCGTCACATGCTTCAGAGCCGAGACAGCTAGCCGTGGGACATACAATTCGTGCAGATGAAAATGAAACAGATCAAACACATAATATTGTGTGATAAGACAGAACACAAAACAAGGACAAGGTGGAGATGTATGAGGTGTATGCATAAAATGTGACTGATGTGGCAAAATTGTTCATACATGAGTGTTGTTCCAATTTCTATATGTTTTCATTTTTAGTTTTTTAGTTGCATGTCTTGGATGGGAATTGGCAAGATGGGACAGCGTATCTATTCACAGGATGGAAGAAGAGTTTTACGCTAGACGAAATAATGTATTGTCTAGATATTGTAGCCCTAAAGAGCAATTGACGACCAAGACGCCCTATCATCTGAATAGCGTTAATCATTAACACACGAATTTGAATCGAGGTTAATTCTTTTTTCGGATAGTGCGGGGAAAAGTATAGAAGCTAAGAACAGCTATCACACGTGCTGACCCTTTTTATGTAGATGGCCTGCTTAAGTCATTCTTCTCGTTCCCCATTGTCTTGGACCCCTTAGCTTTCCTGTAGCAGATACCATCGGGACTATGAACATGGAAACCGCATGGTCCAAAAGCATCCTTAACACCTTTTGGTGCACTACCTAAATTGACGAAAAATGCTCTATGTGTAGAAATAATCTGGAAAATCTCTACGAAGAGCTCTGGGCAAGATTTGTTGAGCGGGAGGTAATTTTCTATAGCCCCTTCTGGGTCCTTAGTTGCAACGTGTATCGCGAAAGCCAACATAGCCGAAGCGTATAGTCGAAGCTTACTTGTGCTATGAGTATGATTGTGAATAGATTGAACCGGCCCTGCAGCAAAACCTCCTGGGTACTTCATCATGTGGACTTCCATAATCTTATCCATAAGTTCATCCATCAATAATGGCATGCAGATCTTTTCTGCTAGACAGTAAAGTTCTAGCATGGGACGAGTGGTGGTTTCGTCGGCATATGGAAGGGTACCGCGATAGAAATATTCGATAAGATCAGCACAGGTAGCAGGATCATCTTCAGGAAGATACATTTCACCGTTGGATCCCTCCTGAAACCCTTTGTTGAACCCGGCATTGAAGAACTCTGACTGGTCGCACAACACCTTTTTATGAACAATGTACTTCTCTCTCTTGGGTCCAACATATAAAATGACGGTTTCGTTGAGTACCCTGATATTTCAAGATTAGTTACAGGTCATATGAAAATCATGCTTTCATCATAGCAAGCGGAAAGCAATAGAAAAGACTTACTCGGGCGTCATGAGAGGTGATCTAGAGGTGGAACTCATCGTGGCAGTTGAGGATGGATGTCCTGAGCTTTATTAGAAATAAGTAGAGGTTTGATATAATTTGATGTTGCATACCTTTGAGAATTACTAAATCTTTTCGAAGCAAAAAAACTCTACCGTACTTTCTACTTCAAGACCTTCGAGATGGCGGATAACGTCTTGGTTGTAAAAAGGTTGCAGTGTTTCAGTTGATAGATCCAGCCTTTAGCTGTGAGCGATGGCAACCCTTGGAAATTCATTTTCTTTTTGAGAAAGTGGGGACTTTTGATACTATTCACCTACATAGGCAGGTAGCTGCAGCCTCGTATTAAAATGATATTCATCGCCGCCACAGTGAATATATCCAGGATTTTCGTCTGGTGAATTGCGTTTGCTTTTCCCAGGACTTCCAGAATCCTGCAAGTTGTCCTAACCGCCTTGGCAAAATGATGAACCTTTGATCTGCAGCCCTAAAAAGGTTCGGTTGGCGCTAGGCGTTACAACTACCTAGATCTAACGACATGATGACGAGTTAAAAGATCGCGTTGATCAAAAATGCAGTAATACAGATCTTCAATTATGAGCTACAAGAAACAGTGAAAAGTCTGGTGAGATTTTTGGGATCCAGAGAACATATGCTAAGTAGATAACGTTGTAGTTGCGGCGTTATTCGACAGCAACAGGTTATGTTAGGGCACCATCTTCATGTTAGTGGTAGTCTTTCAATGTTAACATGACTATATTAAGATCCATAAAAAATCAGCATTCTCCCCACTCTTTCTATCAAGATTTCGTTAGTTACTTGTCAAACTCGTCATTAGCTCAACCTTAATTGCTTAGTGATTGATCGAAATGGCGGGGTTTTTATGGGTTTCTTTCTCAATTCCATCATGTGGAGATACTTTGGGTAAAGCATATAACTTAATTCCAAAACCTTGTTAGTAGTACCAGTGGAGATTGCTTTTTTTGGCATTGGGATGACAAAATTGAAAGTTAGAAGTCCATGGAGATCTAAATCCGACGACAAGCTTTCATTTGGCTTGGATCTAGCATTTGAGTTCAAGGACTTCATATTTTAGGACACTATAGACTCGAACTAACGCTCATAGTCTCATGATTAGGCTCTGAGTAATTTTCATCATTATACGCTAAACATTTTCTTATATATACCTCAAACATCCCCTGTACTTGAATTTCACTACAATTTTTCAAATTTCAATACTATTTTTGACATTTAGATATACCTTAGACACCATCACTTTTGAACACCGTTACAAGCTTTCAAGCTCCGACACAAGTCTAGTCTCCATTTCTACAGAGATCTCGAGACCCCTAGCAAAGACAGAAGCAACATCAAGAACGATTTCTCACTTCATCAATACCCACAGTCGACTAGGCCGAATACCACAACACCTACCGCACAAAGGCACTTCAGACTTGGCCATCGAGTGAGCACCTTCCGAGAACCAACGTAGCCAAATATAAAACACTAAGACTAGATTTCAGTACCATGAACGATAACTTGTTCACAGCAATGTACCAGTTTGTCGTAATCGGCAAAGGTGGCATAAGGCTCGATTCCCACAGAGGCCTTCTCTGTGATCACTTCAAGTTCTTCAGAGCACATCGACTAAGACGTGATCCTCTAGAAGTCCCAGCAATGACCCAAAAAATGTTTGATTCTCTATGTTCATACGCACACAGTAGATGCCTAGATCGCTTTACTGTCACACCCCTCATTAGCAATGCCACTCATACATTCCGAAGCCATGCAGGCCGAAAACTTTTCGAAGAACATACTCAATATCTGCGCGACCTCTACTACGCCGTCGAGCTAGTCGATGAAAAGCCACTTATGAACGAAATCATGGACGAGATTCAAGACCTTCAAGCTGCTGCATATTCTGTTATCTCCCCCGAAACGATCCAGGAAATCTGCATGAATACGAAAAGATTCAGCCCCCTACGTCTGTATGCTCTCTTCACCATGAAAAACGAATCAGAGAAAGGTACCGAGGAGGGTGTAATTCCTGGAATCGATGTAATATCGCGAACCTATGCATCCGAGGCAGCTACTGATGATGAAGAAATAAATTTAGATGAATTCTGCCCAGACTATCAGTTTGTTTGTATGAAATGGAAAGCAGAGGGAGAGTTCGATCCCACTGTCATAGGTAGCAGATTTGGAGATCATGGTTGCGAATTTCATGAACATGATGACCCTGAAGAAGTTGGAAAGTGCGGCCCACTGTTCAATTACTAGCAGATCAGCTGGCAATATTTATGTGGATTAGCCTGTGGAGAATACGGTTTTTGCGTATCATGCATTGGGAAAAGGACAGGCATATGGAGCGATATAAAGGAGTATTTGCACAAATTTATAGACTAAATTAAGGGACTGGGTGGTTTTAGTATTCTTCATTTCATCTGTTAAAAATCTTGTATTTCTAAGAATAATAACATCAAATTGGAATTCACTAACATGCCATGGAAAATAATTCGCCTCTACATCCACTTTTGCCTTCAAATTTCACGTTATGAAAGCAAGAATATGATCAAGGGAATCATACATTCATAGTTTTGTATGCATCGTATGGTATGATATGTAAGAAGGAAGCAGATATGTTCCCGATAACTCACTGCTACCTTTGATTTTTGAAATATTAAAGATCCACTTGCGCCGCTTTACTTTTTGCACGTCGTCGTTTGCTCCTTCCCAACCGCTTTCGACTCCAGAAACGCCGTGTATTAACATGAGAACCCTCAATGCGTGCTCATGACAATATCCAGTCGTCTTTGCTTTGTCTAAACTTCTAGATCAGCCAATAAGTAGCAGATCTCGTCATCCTCAGTACCATTAGCGGCTCCTGAACCAGATCCTGATCGACCATGAATATGGAATTGGCATGGATGAACACCTGGACCAACAACAGGAACAGCAACAGGAATACCATCAACAGCAACTCCTCCGTTCTCCAATTCCTCTTCCTTTATCTTGGTTTCCTTCGCATATTCTTGCTTGGCATCGCGAATACGAGGATCGGTGCCCTTGGTGAGCTTAATGAGCATCTTCATGAATTCGGCAAAGAACTCATCACTGTTCTTTATCAACCACTGAAATCCAGTTGTGTCGAGACCTGGTACCATGGCAGAATAAAGAGCATTTGCGGCGCAGAACTTGCGAAGTGGAGACTCTGGCTGAGAGTGTTCAAGAATGTTTCTCACCAAACTAAATGTCAAAAGGGTAGAACCAACAGCAAGACCATCTTGAATTGTATCAATGATCTTGTTGAGAAAAGTGTTGTCCATCTCAAACATTTCCGCGAAAACATAGAGTTGACAAAGCTCCAAGATTCGAGTTCCTTGCTCAGCTTTAGACATGCGGTGACTGACGACGGGAATGCGACGAGTGTAGAGATACTCATTAAAGTATTTGAAGATAGCAGGACTTGTATCGTGGATGGAATACATTTGATTACGATCCAAAGTACCACCTGTTCTCAACATCTTTGCGAATCGACGAGAAGAAGCGATTAACAAGTTGTTGTGGATGGAAAAAACCATATTGCCGTGTATATCATCAGACGGTCCAACCTTTAACATTATTGTTTCCATTCCCATTGTGCTGCACACAAAAAATTAGATCGAAGGCAAAGACGGGGCAAGAATCGAAATGGTTTATACTGACTCTGTGAATAAGACGTCTGGTTCAAGCTTCATCAATGCTGTTGACTTCGATTGCACGGCAGATTGATTGCTTTGACTGGCGCTTTGGGGTTTCTTGGGTGAAACATTTCCTGCAGATGCATTCCACTGCTTGGTAGCTTCTTTCGCGTATTCATTAAGCTGATCGGCCATGTTAGAGCTGATCAATGGATTGCTCAAGGTGGATGGAATACTTGCATTACCCATCGTGGCGGCAGATTGCAGTAGATACAATTGGATTTGAAAACGAATCTTTGTAGGATTTATCTGTTTATACGGCTCAATCGTCTGTCCGAGAATAAACAGTTGCTTTGATGAAATATTTGGGTATTGCTAGGTGAACAACCACAAGTAAAGGTGGATGCGGAAGAGGAAGAGAGAAGGAACAGGATGAACGGAAAGAAAGAATTGAAGTGACTTCGAAACTCTAAGCGGAAATTCGATGTCCTAAGTCTTTCGTAGGTTGGAAAAAGAAATATCATTTCGAAAGTGAATCGACTGTCAATTTATTTGGAGGACGAGGCTGAACTTCGCGACTTTCATTTTCAGAAGAAAGTCGTTCGCCTCGAAGCTCTTCTCTCACCACAATTTATCCAGCTCTCAAGCCGCAGTCGTAGACTCTGGTGGTTCAAGAACCTCAATTACGTTGAGATAGGTAATCTTGTTTCCTTCTGAAATTCAAGTGTCAACATTAATTATTATTCAAGCTTCTTATATTTGAACTCTGGCGCATGGTCTTTGATTGATATGTCATCCATGGCAGGGCTCAACCTCGGAAAGTAAGATCAACACCAGTTACTTCCATGAGCTCTCCTCACTAACACACTTCAGAGTTCTGGGCAATGAGCTAGTTACAATAACTATAGGCAAGGAGAAGCAAAAGTTCACTCTGCACAAGCAGCTGCTATGCGAGTCTGTGGAATATTTTCGCGCGGCCTTCTCAGCAGGTGGATTTCAAGAGAGCCATAGTTCCTGTATGGACATGCCAGAGGATGATCCTGAAGCTTTCGAGCTGTTTGTTCATTGGTTGTATCGCGGAGAAGTAAGGAGGGCAACGAAGCTTACGGATATCGACCAATTTCTCAAACTTTACGTCTTTTCTGAGAAGTTGTGCCTAAACGAATTAGCAAATAAGACTATGGACGCGATACAGGAGATAGTTTATGACCTTTATGAATACCCCCAAATGTAGTCAAGAGCAACTGGACGGCGTCTGGAGAAACACGTCTTCTACATCGCCCTTACGCAAATGGCTCATTCGTCTACTTGTCTACAATGTTTGGGACGATGAAAGATCCGGTACACCCGAGAAAAAGACATTTCCGCTGAATACTGAAGAGCTCATCTCTTTGTGGCAGCTCTTTAAAGACCACGAAGATCTTTATGCGAGTTTCTTTACTCAATTACATAAACACCCAGCAGACAATCCACCACCATGCCCATTTGAATCAACAATTCAAGGCCTTGTACCTATCATCGACATTCGGAAGGAGAAGTCTGCCATCTTGATAGATCATAGGTTTAGCTTATTGAGGAGACTGGGAACAGGGGCGAACACTAGAGTTGTTTCGAGGACCAGGTGTCTTTGAAAGTGCATCTGTATGGCTTCATTAAGCACAGCATTTGGAGCGAATGTTCCCAGAGCATTTTTACTGGCTAGAAGCAAGAAACACATACTCAAAGATGGAAATATTATAGCAGCTGCTAGATAAAATACGTTGATCGCAACTAACAGACGACGATAGTTTTAGAGACATATGAAGATTCGCCTTCCATCATCCATAGTCAGTTACGTGAGCTTTCTAATACTATGCTCCGAGGGTTGAAGATAATATTAAAAGTGATTGTGATCTCAAATTGACATGATAGTTTTGTTTGGCTGCTTAGATAGTCAAGCAGCAAACATAAGACAGCACTTTTGATGGGCTGCATGGATCCCAAAGCTTTAATTTTCCCAGCTATAGCTTCTGATTATGGAAGCTGTACCAGAGTCACATCTATATTTTACATATCGAGGGGTTTCTCCTATGTTTTGAATCTATAGATATGGTAGATTATGAGTTAAGAGGATTTGCTGATGCCAGAGCCTTCGTATATCTGACTAACGGGGCTCCCGACTTGTTACCAACAGTATGAAGAGAATTCTTGCGTATCAGTTCTCAATACCCAATACTTTCATGGGCCATTCTAAAAGCGTAATGTTTCGAATAGTCTTCATCATATTTCACGCCAAGCCAACTTATACTCGCTTAGTTCACCAACTCCACCATTGCCACCCGAATATTGTGCTTCAACCAGTCAGAATTGAACAAGCATTTTGACCACTGAAATTTTCTAAATCGCAAATGAACAGAGATTCTCACACTATCAATATTCATATTCACGTGATAAGGTTATCAGATTCAAGCACCGGAGCTAGATACAAATTAGTGATGTCGTTCTTCTCAATGGCCAAGCTAGGTCTTGACTACTCCATACTAAAAACACTAGCGTCAAAAACTCAACTTCATCGGCTGTTACAAGCCTCAAAGTCTTTGTAAATGTTCTTTTCAGAACGTTTTTCTGTCACGAATGTCATTTCCTCGTGATATCTAACCATCTGATAGTCAAATCCAAGGCCCTAGGCTTATTAGTTTGAAAACTTCACACGAATACTTGGCCTTATTGCTGGAGTATATATTCATTCATCGCCCCCCTGACCAAAGTTCTCTTTTACATTACAGGACTGTTAGACACATACACACAAAGATATTCTGTACATACCTTCACTCAGCTTGGATATATTTAGATCTTTATCAACATATATACCATTATAAGATATAATTCTATCTCGTCATTCTAAACAACATAAATCAGACTTAAATATTTTAAGCGAATCAATAATGTCTCCGCAAGAAGTCTTTAAGATTGTGACTTCGAGAAAGTAAGCTTGATTCTTCCCTATCATCGACCTATAGAATATCTTTCATACCCGGTCTATAATCAAAGTTTATACTCCCTTGAATATGCTAATGAAACCAATTAGGAAAAATCCTGACCCAGTAGTATTAGTCGTCGGCCCAGAGAAAGAAGTATTCGCAATCTCCCAAGCCCTTCTCGTCGACTCTATTGAATACTTCAGGACAGCCTTTCTCCGGTGGTAGTTTCAGAGAGGGTATAGAAAAGGAAATATATTTGGAAGAAGAGAAACCCGAAGCCATTAGATTATTGGTTGGATGGCTTCAAAAGTCCAAAGTAAACCTCGACTTCACCAGCCAGATATTTAGAAATTTCTGGGAGCTCCGTATCAGCGCAGACAAATGGTGTTCGGAAAAGCTTGCAACGATGTTTCCGACATCATCTTAGCTCTCAGAGGATCGAACATTTCCTTCGAACACCGAGATGCATGGAAACTTTCCGATGAAGATATTTCTGCCATTTGGCAACTCTCACTACCAAACTCGTCTATGAGAAAACTCTGCATCCAATGCTTAGCCTGGGAATTTCGCGAAGATCTGGATGACCCAAGGGACGGAAGCGTAATTGGACTCCTGATTATCAACAGACTGCATTCTATTGTCGACATGCCTGATTACATCGTCGAGGATATCCAAGCCGATTTTGACCCCAGCACGCCTTGCGATTTCCAACATAAATACAATATCTCTTGGCACGAGAAAAGAGACCGGACCGTTGTGACTTTCACGACCATCGTGAAGGTCAAAGGAAATGTGAAGAGGTGAAATATAGCGTTGACACCGCTGATGTATTGGATATGGCTGGGTTTCTCATCAGAAAGCCCAAAGTTAATCAGCATTGGAACGATGGAGGAAAGAAGGCATTAATGGCGTTTTCTACTATGGAATTTTACGACCGTTTCTTATCACAATAAATCCAAGTATTATGAGAGAATGAAGGTCGAGGTGATTTGTATCCCGATTGTAAATTGGAGGGGAATTGCAGGAAGGATGAGCATAGAGGCCTGGCCAAATGTACTTATAATATGTTAGATTATAGACAAGTATACAAATATTTTCTCACCCCCGAAAGAAAGAAGTATCTGTATCTGGTTTATTCTGGTGATATGATTGAACAAATACTAGGTAACTCTTAGAGAAAGTCCTTCCAAGCTCCAGCTTTCACAGTATTGAGGCAAGAAAATTGAAGCATTGCGTTCAAACCTAAGCGAGGATGAGTGAACTTCCAAATTCACTCCGTTTTAATTTCACTTCACTTTTCTTTCCCAATTACCCAACAAACATGAATTGAATAATCAACTCGTCAATCATCCACTACAGAATCTCTTCTGATAAGATTGTCGGCGCACAAAATTTTATACACTCTGAAATTTCTTCGATTCTCATCGCATCAGTTTGAAAGAGAGTAAGGAACCTCTTCCGATCTACCATATTGTAAGCATGAATACAGCATTATTCTTCTATAACTGATGCGATAACTAACAGCTGGCTGCAGACTTGGGACAATATTACATGCAAAGCGCAACAATTGACCTCTACGACTTTGGCAGGTACTCCAGTACCCGTTGAAATTCCTGCTTCGAAGAGTGAGCCGTTTTTTCCAGAATGATAGGAACTTAGAGTTACTGACAGTATCATCCTAGTACTCTCGGCACTGAAGTTGTCAACTCATGGTCGGACCCAAAAGAAAAGAATTTACCGTACACAGAAGCTCGTATGCGACTCATGTGATTACTTCCGAAAAGCTTTCTGTGAGCCGTTTAAAGAAGCCGGGGAGGGGATCATTTGCTTGACAGAGGACAGCGCAGATGCCGTGGGATTGTTCGTTGAATGGTTATATCGAGGCAAAATCGAGTTCAGTAGAACCTACGCACATTTCAACACTTTAATCAAGCTTTATTTGTTGACGGAGAAATGGTGCTTTTACGATTTGGGAAATAATGTCACGGATGATATAATAAAATTCTTTTGGAAAGATACCCTAGATAGATCCTGCTATCTATACCCAGATGTGGTCAACCATATTTGGAATGAGACTGAAGAGAAATCGCCACTTCGAAGACTCTGCATTGAGCGGTTAGCCTGGGTTTATTGGGACGCTAGTAAAACCAACATCACTCCTGGCGAAGATAGACTATCATAGATTTGGAACGTTTGCAAAATCATCGCAGTTTCTTCTGTGAATTTTTTGCATACTACCAGGATTTCGATCGGTACGCGACACCCCCGAACCCTGGTCAGCCATCAGTTTCAGCGAGCTGTGGTGATCTTAAATGGGCACGCGGCAATTGCGCATTTCATCGTCATAATGAAGGAGAAACACGTAAGAAGCTTACAAAGGCAGCCGGGGATTAGACGTACAACAGCGAAGCGCAGAGCAGCAAAGAGCAGAGCCATGACTTTTTTGCTGAATTGACTTCAATATAAAATATGAAAGATGATGCTTGAGCATCATATGGAGAATTTGAGAGCAGGAATTCATCTTTTGACGTCCAGATTCAATCACTTTTTCGAAGGTAAAAAAAAGATCATCACTACAATAGTCCAGGTTCATGGCAGCCATGCCCTTGCTATCACCATCACAATTCAGCGCCACTTTCCTGCACTTTTAAGTAGGTTCATTCAGTCAAATATGTTGCATTACTCGATCACTTGAAGATTGGGTGTTTAAACGTTAATTTCAGTTGGGAGGAAAAAACAAATGATTTTTGAACGATGACTAGTATGGGGCCGAGGTGCGGATAGCGAAGCACATCAAAATCAAAAGTTTAAAATTTCAATGGTCAAATCCACTGCAATCAGGTTGAGGCTTTCAATCTTCACAGATATCAGGTGAATGCGGAAAACAATCACCTATCGTCTGCGAAAGGGATTCAGATACCACTTTACCTGTCAAAAGAGGCGAGCACTTGAGAGAAGGGGTCGGGAATTGACAAAGCGGGATATGCATACTATCATACCTTTCCGCAACATCTCAGAAAATCCGAGCTCCTCGTATCTTATACTTACAAGTGCTTGTGCTGCCACGCTCAATATTTACTCATGAATAGCACTAGCGTATGGAAATGAGTATGATACATATGAACTCCCAACAGTAGTGATTCGATATGGAAATAAATTGAATATCGAATGCTATGGTATCGAGCATTTTAAAACACACATATAAAAGAGAAATAAAAAAGTTGGTAAATATTTAATAGAATTTCACTTGCTCGCTCGCGCAGTATATGCGTACAATCTAAAAGGTATAAAAAAGCATTGAAGAATATTCCAACCTTCTTCATCCCATCGCCGCGCCATTAAGAATCCGAGAAGGCGATCACACACAAGATAATCACTCATTATGCCTCACCACAAAATTACATCCCAACCCCTCAAGCTCTTCTATACATCTCCCTTCTTCTCCCTCCCTCATCCATAACCACCCTCTCCCTCTCCGCAAATCTTCCCGCCGAACTTCGCGGTCTCCCAATCGATCCATTATCATAGGGAATACTACCCCTCCTTCCACCAAATTCCGAAGGTGATACCTTTTCTCTCTCCCATTCTCTCTCTCGATGAATATTCACTATTCCAACTCCGCTTCCTCTCCTCGCTCCCGCACCGTCCACAACTCTATATCCACTCGGCGTAATAGGTCTTCTATCATCCCATCCCGTTCCCTCTACCGTCCGGTAACCACTTTGCACCGGTTCGGGGGTACCACTTCCTCTACTCCCTCTCCTTGCAAATGAGCTCGGACTCGAAGACGCATGCCGAGATGGAGTACCACGCTCAATAATACGATCTCTTTGGATATAGATTTCCTCTCTCTCACTCCTATCTCTATCTCTTCCGCTCGAAACACTCCCCTTCCTACTTTTCCTCCTTGAAACATGGATTGCGCTTGGACTAGATCGTCCATGGGAATGCGGCGGCCAGTGTTCTTCTTCCACTTTTATCAACTCGACTCTGCTTTCTTCTGGTGGAGTAGGCACGCGAGGAGGTGAGAGATCGCGGTATGAAGGCGCTGGGCTTTGGGGCATGATAGATGGTGAGGGCGGGGGTATATGATGATGATGTGATGGGGGCGGCGCAACCGACATGGGAGGCGGAGGATATCCGGGGGCATATCCTGGAGGAAATCCTACCGAAGCTGGCGGGGGTGGTGGAGGTGGTGGTGGAGGGGCAACGGACGCCGGAGGAGGAACGGGAGTAGCTGGCTTTGGGGTCGGCGGAACAGGAGTGTGTGAACGGTGGATTTCCGTCATGGAGCTAGAATGCCGATGGCTGGGTGGCCCGCGGTGAATCTCGGTCATGGAGGTGGAATGCCGGTGAACTTCGGACATGGGTGTAGAAGGTCGGCGGCTGTGTTGTCTGATGACCGTTTCTGAGACGCGGGATACGGGGCGAGATGAGTGGGAACGTCTTTCGCGGACTATTTGGGTGGATTTACGGCGGGGAGCCCGGCGATCGACAAAGACTATATCTTCGTCTTTAGGACTGTGAAGGGGAGGTATGTTAGCACGGAGGTTTTTGGAGAAAATGGAGTAAGAATTTTGGTTAGGAACGAAATGCATCAACTTAGGATTGAATAGAAAGAGAAAATCTTACTGCCGAATAAACACATTTTATCTGCTTATTTTATCTTCTTTCTATGTCTATTTGTTTGCGTGTTTGAAGATATATTTCTGTAGATAAATAGAATATTAAACACAATCGTAAATAAATATTCCTTTGAAGGATATAGCAATATTAATCAATTAAATAATAAAGTCAATCGTTTTCATATATTCTAAAAAAAAACTTCTTCTTCACCGACCGAGTACCTACCCTCTATATATATATCTTCATCTCCACCCAGCTGCCATTGACTCCAGTCTCCACACCACCTACCCTTCACCATAAACAACTTCAATTACCATCAAATATCAAGGCGTGGACCCATCATGACGATGTGCACCTATAGCAATCAAACCCAATCATAATAAACGCATCATTTATTGGAATCCAGGGTCTGAATACCACCAATCCGAACATTGGACGCAGGCTGGATACGAAAATAGAAGGTCCCCAAGGAAAAGAAAATCCCAACCCAGCCACGGTCACATGTGCACACGATAATCCCTACTCGACCTGACGAATCCCCGCCGTCGCCCTACCCAAAGAATGATTCGCAGAGACGACTTCTCTCGCGAATGATTCTCCCTCCGCCGAACAATCTAGGTATATTCCAAGGAAGTTGATCCCAAAATCTAGATCCCGGATTCCATCACCTATCCCGACCATCCAGAGACCCAAACCATTCTCTCTTTATTATCGTGCATGATCTCTCCTCTGCTCTTCTGATTCGTCGCTTCCCGCTTCGCACAAAATATCCGAGTGGCGTTAGGCTGGTCCGGGCTAGGGATTCCCTGCCCATCAAGGCCTCGTTGGCAGTTTTGGTGTTCGCCTTGCGCGCAAGGCCTGCGAGAACTAAGCTGTTATCGTACAGTCATGTGATGCGTTTGGCTGGAATCGGATTCCTTGTGCCGATCGCGTATCCACGTCGGCAATCTCGGTACTCGCCGCTGCGTGGGAGAAGGCTCCGTTGGGCGTGGAGGCAGTGAAGATCGAGTGTCCGGTCGATCGCTAATGCGTCGCGTTGCATAGAATGTGTCTGGAAAGTAAGGCTGGTCTAGATGGGAACGAAACATGTCAAGTCGATGAGTGGAGTGAACGGTGGTCCGGAGGAGTTGGATCTGAGAATACATATTTTCATTTTCATTCTAGATTCATGAAGAACCGTGATTGCTGTCATTTAACGTTCTAGGGGTGTGAGATCAGATCAGAGATGAGATTGCATTTCGTGTGAAAAATGTGTCTACAGTCAAAATCCAGACAAGGTCATCACCCTACTGCAACAAAATGAACGTCGATCAAAATCGGAGTATGCACTCTGTACTTCCTAGCGATAACTCTTCATCCCAAGATGCTGTAGGTTAGTACTTCATCGACAATTACCGACAATCACCCGGATCTACTTCAGCTGAACCCATCCATCCGATAAGCTGTCCTTTTATTGAAAGGTAGGCAACATTTTCCCTCCACAATTCCTACCTTGCATGCTCGATTAGCATTTGACATTTTCCACCTACGTAATATTACCTTTGATTCGGATAAACCCCTTTTCATATCATTTTTCGATACAGTCGACTGTGGAAAGAGATGTTTCTCCGAGGTTTTTCTCTCCAACTTCGCAAAGTATACTCGTACGAAGATCCAACTCTTTCGCATGATGAAATCTTCATACGAAGAGTCTACATCATGTTTATCTTCGCCATCGTTCAGAAACAAGATAGACAGCGTAGAACGAAGAATTTTCTAGTTTTTTTTTCACACCCTTGATCCAAGTTCATAATTTGTTCATATTATAGGAACCTCAATTCAAGGATAGGTATCGCAGAGAAGTTGTCAAAGACACCTGGGCAATCTAAAACAAAAGTCTCGGAAGTTTAACACTCAACGCTCGGGGTACCAAAATTTGATGGAAGAAGTAGTTGCCATAGAGTTTGATGCTATATACCGGTATCGCTCTCGGTTCACTTTGCAATCTTTCCTTGAAATGTCGAAAACATCCGCCATTGTCATTTTCGGTGTTGAGGATGAGAAGATATCTGAACGAGCATCGATCATAAATGGTTCTTCGCTTTCGGATACATTTACACATGTTCAGCTTTGAAGAATACGCTCGAGTTAATTGGTCAGATTCAAAAATTGACTCTACAACAATATTACGAAGCTTGATTTAGAGTTCTATCACGCCATTTATCTACTCTCTGGTCATTACTACCATAAAGATTCCTCAAATCATCACATTCATATTCATATAAACTCATACACATCCACCTCACCCTCTCTAATCAGATCCCTAGTTTCCTCCTTCACATCCCGCCATTCATCCCCCAACACCCCCAATATTCCCCTCGCCTCTCTCTCTCCACATCCCCCAATCCACCAAATCTTCCTAACCCTCACAAACAGCGCAAACACAATCCCTAACAAAACCAACGCTCTATCTCTCCCCTCGCTAACCAACTCCCCAAAGCGCTGCTCGATAAAAAATGGAAAACTAATCAACAATCGTGTAATTACCGCTGGATTCGCTTTCGCTTCAACATGATTATACACATATCCCAGAAAACAAATCGTAGACAAATACGCTTTTTCAATTTCTTCACTCCACTCCTCATTTTTCCAATCCGTATGATTTCTCCTCAATAAATGGATGAATTTCTCCGCATTTTCCCGATCGAACATTTCCACAGGGTGAGCCAAAACCGGCATTCGTTTCACAAACATCCACGCAACGCTTTTCTTCTGCGCTTCGTCGTTTGCGTCTAGATCTCGGGATGAGATGCACTGACACGCGGTTTTGAAAGCCATCGATGCGCTGCGGGTTATGTTCATCCAGTCGGAGGGAGGAGTATAGGGGGATAGAGAACGGGTTTGAAGCATGGCGAAGGCGCAGACGCGGAGATGGCTGGAGGTGAGACAGATGGCGTCGGCGTTTTGGGGGGTGAGGTGGTGGATGTCGTGGCGGTGGAGTTGGAGAGTTGTGTCGAGTAGGTGTAGGCGTCTACTAGAGATGTGTTGGGGGTGGGAGTGGGTGGTTTGGTACTGGATGAGGGTGCTTGGTTGTTGAGGTGGAGGGATGATATACAGTAGATAGAGTATAGGAGTGCTTCGTTTGTTAGAGCGATTTCAGGAACAATTTGTGTGAAGATATCGATAGCAGTTTGGTCGGGGTTGGCTGAATTAGTAAATGTTACTGTTCGGCTCGTGTTGGTTGTGTAATGATGAAGCAGGGTAAGTTCTCGTAGACGTCTTTCGGCGGTCTCAGGAAATTTAGTCCGTAGTTCTTTGGCAGTGACGTTTCCGTATTGGGTTTCTCTGGAACCTTTCTGGATGCAGTAGATTCGTACTTGCATTCCACTCCATGCCGTTTACAATTGAGACAACTTGGTTGGCATTCATCGCACTGAACCGATGGTCAGAACTGGCGTCAGGGACCTGGAACGACATTGCAAACCCCGTAAGCCCCTCCCTTGAGATTTGAGCTCATTGGAACTTCGATTGTGCATAACGGGACTCGAACCATCTTCATAGTTCAAAAACTTCCTCAACTTTCAAATGTCGTCCCAGGTAGCACAAATAGCATCACGTGTCGAAGGAAATACACCACCTACTTTCACCCTTCTTATCCTACATCTTATACACCCAGTCTTACTCTTCCTATGAAATGTTTTCAAAGGTCCTTTCGCACACTCACTGCCAGGAGTCCACGATACCCAAGTATTACTGGTTTCCATCATTGCCAGTCTCACTAGCTTTCGGAATTTCTTCAGATTCGAATCCATGTCAACAGCATTCTCAACCGAAGTAGAAGCTGAGGGGATGTCCATATTCGTTGTGATATACGTCAGATGTTCTAAAGTAGAATCCTGAATGAAATTGTATATCGTGGGTTTATTCGTGCTGGTCGTGCATCTGAAGCAAATCAGCCTGTCACGTTTTGAGTGTTGTGGTAGTAAAATGTGGCTGACTTCCATCCGTAGGTACCTAAGCGTATCATTGTAGAATTGGGCTTAACCTTAAATGCAGCACCATTTAGTTAAACTTTAAACTATTTTCACGTCTACAACATTGTCATCATTCTCACAACTTTTCAATGCCCTTGATTTACAATCTTCACTGTGGTATTTCATGTTGAATGATCGTTATCTATACAATGTCCGTGCACTACTTTTTATTCGATTCATTATTTCTTTCCCCTTCTGCATCTTTCAAGCACTCGATAGCAACCGAATACAGCTCACCCGATGTCATGCTCTCGTATACCGTGGTTACCATACTTCCGATGGATTGATACGAGTTAGGCTTATCGGATAACCATTCCGAAGACTTGAGGTATTCCTCGTCAACGAAAGGGATGTGGAGCTCATTGCGTACATAACAATACATCCGCTCACCGGCTTTGCCCAAAAAGAACTTAGCAACCCCGGTTGATTCAGAATATTGTCTCTTTGTCACTTTGTGGGTGTCAATCATTTGCTTCGAGCACACTTTCGTCCAGTCTTTCAAAGCTTGCAAGATATCTAGACTGGGCTCCAAATTATCAAGAATGACTGCCTGAAGCGATTGAACTGCATGTTCAAAGCGCGTGGTCGAGTCCATTATTGAGCTCCAATTGAGATTTGTTGTCAATTTGTCCCAGAGGACCAGTTGCAAGTCAGAGAGTTCCTTCGTCTCCATGGAATCGTCGCATTGACCATGGCTTCCCTGAGTATATTTTCCAAGGCTCCGATTGAAAGAACTCTCAAACTTAGGCCTCAAATTCACAAAGAATAAATCCTGTATTCCTCTAAGATCTAGAGCTTGACATACAGCCACTAGATGCGCTGCGGAAAGCTGTGTCAGAACTTCCAAAGCCGATAGCGTGTATCTACTCGAGATCAGTCCTAGAGAATTCAAAGCTTGATTTCCCATTTCAGCCGTCTGAACATGTGATCCAACGGGATTAGACAGAAAACCAAGCTCAGATTGCAATGCCGCAATCATAATATCAATACCTTTAAACATCCAAGATTCGCTTGGCTCATCTGCCACCAGATTAGGAGGGAGGCCGTTGTTTGTTGCTGGATTTATCAACTCGGTACATTGTGCAAATAACATTTGACCAATTGATTGGCAAGCTTGTCTAGTCTTCTCTACGGCAACTTGTGATGGACTTCGCTTGGAAGTTTCCACCATGATGCATCTTTCCGTCATCACTAACGAGGGGATTATCAGTGGTGGAGTTCAACTCGATTGATACCTGTTCATAGGATAACAAAAGATCCTCTAGTGATGGACCGATCCACTGTGACGCAGTTCTAATAGAATAACGATCTTGACGTAGATGAAATTCTTGAGTATCATTTCCCTTGTCAACTTGGAGCCAGCCAAGAACGAGTAGATGTTTTTCGCTGAAACCGTTTGACCTCTATGGGGTCTGACATCAGCAAAAAAAGGATTAAAGCTTTCGTCCGTACCAGAAAGCGCTTCAACAGACATAGCAGCAAGAATTTGTGAAAGCAGAGCTTGCATAATCGCTTCATGCATGGCTAGAGATGCAACTGCAGCTGTCACTGCTGTTCCATTGACTAACGATAATCCCTCTTTAGGTTGGAAAACTGCGGGGGGATATCAGCTTGCAATAATGCTTTGTCTGCTGAGACGCGTTTTCGATCAAAATCAACGTAAACCTGAATCGCCGGCTTCCCTTCCAATGCTCCACCTATGTATGACAACGGGCTAAGGTCACCGGAAGCAGATATGCTTCCTCTAAGTGGCACTGCTGGGATAACTTCCTTGTTTAAAAGATCGAACAGAGATTGAACAATGACTGGTCGAATTGCAGAGGCTCCCTTGGGCAAGCGTATTGGCACGAATGGCCATTGCTCCACGAACCCAGCTCTCTGCATGGTGGTTGAGCAAACGGGATCAGACAAAGGAATAGCCAGTCTTGCTAGTTTCGCAGCTGTAGACTCCCTGTATTCAATATCGCTCACTGAATCGTTTGTTGCTAACTCTTCAACATGACGACTGTCTAGAGGGCCAGAAATAACTCCGTAATGGAGCATTCGAAATAAGCTTGCAGAAACTTCGGAGACGTTCTTGGGTCGAACATCTGCGCTTCCACCAAAACCAGTATTTACACCTTCCAATGTATGAGCTTGCGTGCTGTTGCTTTTACGTTTGCTCAAAAGCGTGTGAACTCACCATAAATTGAATCGCCGTTTTGAATCCGTTTTTGCAAAGCCTCTGCACTTTTCTTCATTTTGCCGGTTGCTCCTTCGCTAAGTGAGATTTTGCGACGGTATCTTCGAGACTTGTGTCAGTATCAACTTTCTTACACGTAGCGGTCAGAACTGACACTTACCTCGCGATGGCAACCAGGGTCGCTAGGTTCAAATTAGATCCATCGGCTCTTATTGGCTCGAGTCCAGAAACTTCATCTTCAATTGCACCTGAAAAGGCTTCCCAATGCGACAAGACCGTTCGATTGAAGCAATCCATCTTTGGTACTTGAAATGCGCTAGTTGCACCTGCTTGGTTGGAAGAACCAATCTCCGGTGTCAATGTCGTTCCATTAGATGGAACCACCTCTGGTGTTAAGGCTACTGATGGCGAGACTTTTCCATTAGAGGAATCCATTTGTAATGAGAAATTGTAAGAACACTCCTGACACTTTTGGTGGATATTCTAGTAGTGTAGCGCAAGACTTCAACCCTCAAAGGACCCTTGATGTATTCGGAAAATTGTGAAAGAACAATTCATCTTTAGATTATACATACGTTTTTTTAAAAGAAGTTATATTTCTTTTGCTATACAACTCATCCGTCTTCGTAGAATGAAATCAAGTATTAAGTTTCAACTAAACCATTGGCATTCAACTAGTTGAACCCTAAATCTGAATATGACTCCTTTCACCTTCTCGAGTGACCAGAAAGTATACAGTTCAGCTGCTGTGAAAAACGGGTTAGTCCTGTTGTAGCTTACCATCTTGTGGTATATGCTTTCTAGCTTTGGAGTTGCATAGATTCTGACAGCACGATTAGATGCGTGGTAGATCTTCATCACTTCACACCGCCCTTGTCATACCTGAATTCTTCGCATTGTACAGGAAAGACGAGAAGAAGAAATAATCAACTTCGATGGAATGTGGAATCTGGAAATAAGATTGACGTAACACAAAGTAATGCATGAGTAGTGAAAATGAAATGCGATTGTAGTATGACAACGAAGTGATTGATCCGTTGTGTAGAATTTGAGGTGGAAAAAAGAATGTCGATTACTAATCTTGCATAATGGATTTGGTAGACGCATTCACTTACTATGTCATATGTATCTAATTATATATCAATATGGGCGTCTGTTTTCCAAAGAAAAGTGCCATATTGTTGAAATCAATTCCTTGGGATACGGAAGGAGCGTTCACAGCGGGATAGAACACAAAGTCAAGATTCTTCCAGCCAGATTCTCTGATATTCCGAGTTGCAGTCCGACAGCCAGAAACTTTCATTTCTGAATGCCCCTAATAGTTGAAATGGTTTGGAATACTGAATCTTGTTTGGATAATTGTACGGCTTCCAAAAATCAGGAGCTTGTTGGGTATCTTCTAGTCCGGAAGTATAACCATCCTGCTTCACGATGAATGGGAATGGCTTCAGTAAGCTTGTTGATTGTGATCAATTCGGCGACCAAATTGATCAGAGCTATTGAAGGACTTCTGTTTTCAAGAACACTGATCATCAAGACTCAGGCAATGTTTTAATGAGAGTGCCGTCAAGAATTATTGAGAAATATCTCGCCAAGGAAACTACCGACATAAGTACGCTGACAGAAAAACTGCCAAAAGACTGTATGAACAACAGCGACTCATTTCTGTATGATAAATTATTCACAATACGCATTTAAAGTGTGGTTTCGTTGCCTTGATGGTTACATTTATCTTGTCAAGAACGAACGACCGAGGTGACTTCTCCTCCTGCATTTTCGATGTGCCTTATGTTATTGACTCGATATCAATATTGGCTCAGGAGCAGATGATATAGTAACATTAGGTATGCTGGCAATTCAAGCACTAACTTGTCCAGAATTTCATAACAAAAGAGTAAGCATTCGATTAATAGAATAGGAAGGAGCGATTCTGAGACCTTCATGGTGTACAGATTCTTTGCTCCCGACTGACCAATGTGCATTATGGCTTCCTGTAATATGCTATTTTTCTCTCTATCAATTATCACATCATGTAGCTGAATACATCTCATCAGTACAGAATTTTTGCTAAAATGCAGATAAATTCTTGTATCCAAGAACCGTGAAAGACTACTTGTCAATGAGAGCGAAGACATGGTGGCGAGACACCAAGAAATACTTGAAAAATCAGCCAAGTGGCCGAGATCTTCGAAATGAGTAGTTCGTATGAAGTTGCTGAGGCCATTGTGCTCGATCCACATGGGATTTAAGAGAAGATTCACCCAATATATAGGTACTCATGATGAGAACCATTACGTAAGATTGAATCGCTAGACTCGTGAAAGGGTTTCAATCATGGACTTGCACAGATATTCAATACACATCATCAGATATTCATATGAGATACAGTTTACTGGGATTTTGATCACCTAACTAACAGAGATCCCAAGTCCGGATTGACAGCAAACTAGGACTGAGGATTAGCAAAATACCACCAATAAGCTCCCTGCAATTTGCTCCCCTCGATGTAATTCGTCTTGTTAAGTTTTTCATTGGGACCATGAGCCGCATCATCCGACATCCCTACTGGCAATAACATGATACTCTTTTCCCCCAATGCCTTTTGCAGATCAAGTGTTACTCCGATACTACAAATTCGTCATACTGTTAGCCAAGAACTCTAAACAAAGAGCCAAACTACCAAAACCAGAAAAATAATATAAACTAACCTTCCACCCTCCCTCGTCAAATCAGGTTCAGTATGATAAACTTTCTGCGTAGCCGCCTTTCCAGCCTTGTAATTTGCATCATCAGGCGAAGCAAGCCAATACGGAGCTGTTTCTCCAAACTGTTTCGCTGTGCATGTATTTTTGCTTCCGAGTTTTTCAAATTCTTGGCAGAGATAGTTAATGGTGAGATTGGAGACGGTTTCCTGATCCATGGACGGCACAGTGCGTATGGAAAACTTGGCAGTTACTTTGGGGTAGATGGCGGTGGTTTGGTCGGGGCTGGAATCTGCGCCTGCGATACCGTGCTAGAATTGGGATTGTGAATATTTTCTAGTATGAAAGGAGTTCAAGGAAAATGGTTGTGTAGATAGCTGAAATTTGCGGTAGGTGAAACATATGAGATAACGGAGAATGTTGGAAATTGAAAAGTATAAAATGAAAGAGCTGGTTGGGCTTACAATGGTGAGAGACGGATACCTAAACCTATGCATGAGAGTCTTCTTAGGATCATCATAAATATTCGCATCGCTGCCAATAGTCTGTTGAAAATCCCGCGTCGAAAACTCTATCGTAGCATATTCCTCCGCCTCTTCCTTGGACACATCATCTACAAGTTCATTAATCCCCGGGATCAAGATTTTACCCTGAGAATCCACAAGTTTCGAAAGCAGAATCACTAGATCCGTCATGGGCTCATACACACATCCTCCAAACATTCCACTATGGAGTTGAACACCTGCATGTTCCACTGTGAGGTTGAAGTAATTGATACCGCGAAGTCCATATGTTAGACATGGTTTCTTGGTCGTAAGCCAATAATTGTCAGAGATGCATGCAGCATCGACGTGTTCGAAGAGAGCGCGGTTGGCGATTGCAAATTCTGCGAATCCGGTGGATCCAGATTCTTCCATTCCTTCGAAACAGAATATGAGATTCACGGGGACATCGACTTTTGCTTCCTGGTAGGCTTGGAGTGCGTTGAGCCAGCCGAGCACGGGTCCTTTGTCGTCGGTAGAGCCTCGTCCGTAGAGTTTTTTGTCGGGATCTTCGCCTTTTTCTGTGATGGTCCAGGGGTCGGTATCCCACTTGAAGATTAGATTATCAGTAATATTCATCAAAGAAGGGTGTGAGGAAATAATGAAAGTGAAGAGCCGAAGCTTTATCGACAAACACAAATAGTCGCTTCATAAAGCATCGCCAACAAAATCGAAAATCGAGAATAGAGAACTTAATAAACTAATCAAACTTACACCTTCTCCCGGAGGCTGAACATCATAATGACCATAAATCAAAATAGTCTTCTTCTTACTCTCATACATTTTTGGATATTTAGCAATAATAACATCCGGTAACTGAAGTTCTGTTTCTGGTTCTTTCCCCAACGAGTGTCGATCCACAGATGCATTTAAGTTCGTGAGTTGATCTGTCAGAAAATCCGTCATCTGATGCGTGTCAGAGTACAAAAGATCTCCAAGGAGCAAAAGAAGATGTACATACAGCAACTACATGTTTGCGTCCCTCAACAGTTCGCTCAGAAGAGATGGATGGGATTTTGATCGCGGGTACGAGTCCTAGATTGTAGTTAGAATATCTGATATTTCATTATCCGCAGATTTACTTTTCTTCACTCACGATCATGGATAATGTTGAAGTTGGGAGCGGTAGCGGTAGCAAGCTCATCGATTCTATATTAAGCACGAAGTATCTAGTGATTAGCAACAGGTTCAAGAGTTCCTATCCCGTAGATCCAAATACATACTTCTTAAAACAAGGTCCAAATCACCCGTAGCCATGGCTAAATGGAAGATAAACCACTGCACTTCGTAAAAGGAGATAAGAGATTCGAAAAGGAGATCAACACTATAGAAATCTCAAAACCAAACAACAACTTTCAATTTTTAAAACGACACTCACACTTGGGCAAAACACAAATGAAAAAGCGACTCATACTCAGGCCGAACTTTTGATGAACTATATACACAACCTCGTCACCATTCCACAGCCAATCCTCTCACAAAAATCTCACCTATGTATGCATGTATCTCTCTACCCCAGAGTGCTACCACTGAATTGCTTCCTTCAATCCCACACAATAGCTTCCAGCTAGTCCAAACCCTCCTCGACTTTATCCCACCACCGAAGCACCACTCCACTGACAACACATCTCCCAAGTGTGACTCCCCAAGAAATGCGGGGAATTCCTCACAAATCACTCATCACATCTCGCGGATCGCGCATCACAATTGCAGATGCAGATGCACTCTCATAACTGCATAGAAGCACAGTAGCGTAAAACCCAAATACACTAGCACACATGTCGTGCCCTCCATCCGCCTGTCACAACCGCAGAATTCCCATTCCACAAACGGATGACAGTCTTGGTAGACGTAGCGAATCCTTATGGAAGTTACACAATCGAGATACAGTTGTACGTGTACCCATTATACTTCAGTACACTATGGCGTTCGATGACGAGCTGAAATCTGGGGGTGTGAACGATCATGTATGTATGTATACGAGAGGGAGTTATTATTGCAGATCAGTTTGAACGAGTGATTTCTATGCGATGTGATGTAGCATCATACGCAATCAATCATGAAAATGTATTCTTGCATGTTGGTGAATTTACAGAAGATGCGCAGGAGAATGTGCATTGCTGTCACCAGGGTCTGGTGACGAAATTTTAGGAGGAAGGAAAAAGTGTCTGTAGATCTTTTGAGACACGTGCAGAAAAATCGGTCGTTCAGATTGTCTAAAGATAAGATGCAAAAGATTGATACTTGGTAAGGACCAGCCATGACTCGAATATATCACAGAAACATCCACAGAATCATATTGCCAACTTCACTCTGACTCAAGTCACCAAAACTGGATATGAATATGAATTTGATTTACCCACCTCTGGAAGATTATCATTCCCCAAAATGGGCTGTCCGAATTTCTCCCAAAAAGGTATCGTGCCCTCCCAATACTCCTTGCAGAGTTTCTTATCCTCGACATAATTTTGTACTTTCAGGCCCAAAACCTTGAGTAGCGAATGCGTGTGTGATTTTTGCACATTGGGGTTAATCTTGATGATAGAAATAAAATCCACTTCTGTGCCAAATGGCCAATGATGATTCCATAATCGAATCTGCGAATTGACAATATATCTCATGATGTCTTCTCTCTCAACTTTGTGATCCTTGGATACACCCATCAGGCTAGCAGTTCTATTGAGCACACCATTGGCAAACGAGAAGCCAGTGGCAAATCCTGAGAATCCAAGATAGTGACTATTAACCATGCTAGCCGCAACGCTGACGGGGATATCAGGATCGCGCTTTTCGATCCCCTTGAGAAGACCTAGAACGGGTTCTTGCACATGACCATACCATACAAGGCTTCTGGCTATCGCTGCATGTGAAGATCTTGCCGACGAGATAACAAACAGTTGGGTACTCGGAGTCTTTGGTAAGAAATGATACGTGCAGAATGTGCTATTGTTGATGATCTCTTTTGTGAGATTGGCGTCATATTCATCTGAGAGAAGAGAAGAGACGGGACATGATCAGCAATATTCAAGACGGCAAAAGGTAATTGGGGGATATGCTACTTACTCCATGCTGGAGCTGGGTTAGCTGTTGATGCAGCCAGTGCTTCTGTGTTTTCGACTAAAGACCAGATACAGGGGTTAATGTTAGCATGAAAACTTAGACAATTGTGAGAACTAAGTTACTGATTCAGAGAAGAAGCTTTAGATCATGGTGTAAAAGATCCAAGCTACTTCGTTCTACATGACGACTGGTGACCATAGACAGAGCTTATTCCACAACAATCTAAATCAAGAGAAAAACAACCAGAAATTTGATTTCCCCATCCAATACTCGGGGAGAAGTAGCGGTTTCGCGTATAAAACCGTAAATGCATACTCTAAAAACTCACACCACATGTCCTGCACACTTGTGGACTGCAATACATTATAGTATGTGTGCTTTATGTATTCTCCATTGCCATACCCTTATCACTTTCAATTCATTAGCCATGGGAATCTGATATTCACCTGAAAATCATACCACCAAAGCCGGTAACAAACAACCTCAAACGTCTTATTGTCCCGTTACCTGTGAATCTCCGGTGTCCAAACACTAAAGAGCCTTCCCTCATCTGCCAACCACCAGCCACACCACAAATAAAACCGAAGGGTAAATAAGGTCCGACATCCACGTATTCAATATTCAGTGTCATTCACAAGCTCAAACTTAGGCACGCACTTGTACCCTACTCAACCGATCTATCCAGAACCCTTACTCCAATTCAGATACACACACATACCCGCATCAAGACGAAGCATGTGAGTACCCAAGTAGACCATCTCATCACTACATCTCCATCCACAACACAACACAACACAACACAACACAACTAACCGCCCATCTGATCCAAACATCTGCGCCAAAGATTCCTACGCCGAGATCGAACGAACAGCATACATACATATATCTTACATCCACTTCAACCCAACCCCCACAAAACGATTTGTCGTTTCCTGCCAATCTCCAGCACTCAAATTTTATTACCCCGCAGTCTCGTGTTTCTCGAGAAGAGTTATTATTAGCGTAGCTCGATTCATCTTAGACGAGCATACTATACAAAAACTAATATGCAGCAATACCAATGAAGAATAACTAAAGACGCGAGATCAACACAAACGAAGAAGGTTAAAAGCGGATACGACAAAACTGTTCCCCGCGTGCCACTTTTGTCTCTCGACTTCTCTTTTTTTCTAGGGTACTCGTAACGCTACCGATACGATTGGCTGGTAGAAGTAGTTTGACAGTGTTAGGCGGGTGCGGGTGCGACCGCTTTTAGTGTTGGGGTTGTGACGCGGTGTTGACGTTTTAGTTCCTGATCAACAGCGCTCGTGCTGCTAGAAAGTATGCAGCTTCGACGCTAATGAAATCAGACACACCCACAATCACACGATTTTCAAAATTCTGGGTTAAAACCATCCATCAATATTTTTGATCGTGAAATGTATGGAAGTATTGGAAGGCATATATAATATAATTCTATCATCTTTGTGGACTTCATAATGTTATTTCATATCATTATTTGTTTCCGAAACGTCAGTGTCTTGAAAAGAATTTCAACTTGAGCGAGTCTAGTGTGCCGGATATTCGGTCCAGTGCATCAAATTAGTGCTCTTGTAGTTTCCCCATCTCGTGATACGTATCTCTAGCTTCAGAGATGCATATCTTCTAGCAGCACGAATAGAAGACAGGCTGAATTTCCGTGGGTAAAAGACTTGTTCTTGTCCAAAAAAAAGATAGTACGAAAGAAGATCCCTTATAACCCACTTGGCCAGCTACCAGGTAATTCTACTACAACAACTCCCCTTTGTTTTACCCAATCCTTCTGCAATGTTTACCCAGATATGAAACTCATCCAGCACTAAAGCTGCGTCTATTCCAATCTACAATGACTCATTGCAGAGCCAAAACCCCCAACGAGATATCCAGATACTTCATATCACTACCCCAAAAGAGAAAGGATTCCCACCATCTTCTCACTGCTAGCAACAACGATGTAACGATCTTACCCAACTCAACAACAAGAATCGTTACCATAACTTCCGGAAACCCACAGCTATCTCACGACGCATGACTCAGTATAACGAATGTGCGAGTGTGATGTGATGTAATGAGCGAATCTCAGAACATGTTGAGCCCTTGGCTCCTAATCGAAGCACCTACATCATTACATTCACCGCGTATACACGAGTGCGACAGAGATGAGCTGGCTAAGGAACTTGACAAACCCCTCATTCCTATTCCAAGCACTCGCATCGTTACAACCAGCGTACATACGACTATTACGCACAGTATTGTGCAGACCTCATTCCCGCCTCCCAATCTTCAGGCCACCTCCAATATATCCTATCGACGCAAGCATATGCACTCATGCGTGTTCAAGTGCAACAAGAGAAAAACTGCGTCATGGGTCGTCAGAACCGACTGAACGAAGAATACATAAAGCGCTGCGAGAACCACGATGAATGCGAAAAGCCCAGGTCTGAAACAACTCCTCAATCAATCAATACATACATACATACTCAGCATTGAAAACTCTCACCCATCATTTATCATCTATCATCCATCATCCATCCCTCCATCCTAACCCCCAAAGAAATCCCCAAACTCCTACCAACTCCCCACCCCACCACCATGCCCACCTACGCCCCCATCGTCACCGAGCTACGCGACGAGCTCCTCCGCGAAGTCGACGATCTCGACACCGCCGTGCGCAACGCCCTCGCCCACGACATCCCAGACATGAAAACCTACGGCATCACCTCCGGCAAAGGCTTTCTCGATTTCGCAGACTGGCTGGTGCGCGGCTGGATCCCCACCGAGAGCACCAACGGCCGCGACATCTACTACATCCTCTGTATCTTCTACTTCGTGCTGGCCCAAGAACCGTTCGGCGTGCGTCAGACGTCCATTCTTCCCAAGAATGTGAATAAGCCGCTCACGCCGCTCTCGGACTGGCTGGTGCGCTATGCCAAGGCGATTGGGAACTTCATGGATAAGCCCGAGTCGTGGAACGAGACTTCCTTGACGAGTTATCGAAATTCTCCTCGATTCCGTGTGTTTGAAGCTGAAGATCCAAAGAATTGGACGACTTTCAATCAATTCTTCTATCGCAAGCTCAAGGAACCCCGTGAAATCACCTCACCGGAAGATGATCGCATCATCACCTTCCCTGCCGATTCCACTTTCGCCGGTGCCTTTTTCATCACCGATGAGTCCGAGGTCGTACTCAAGAACCTCCCTTGGAAAGTATCAGACTTGCTCGGCCCATACGGGAAACAGAAAGTTCCAAACCTCGACGACAAAACTACATACGGAGAAGTGTTCCAAGAAGGAATTTGGACACATTCTTTCCTCAACACCTTTGATTATCATCGACAGCACGCTCCCGTCTCTGGAACCGTCGAGGTCATCGATGTGATTGAAGGTGCTGCCTATTTAGAGGTACTCGTCGAGACAGACAAGAAAGCCGGAGGACACAATTACCTTGCCCCTCGCCGTCGCATTTCCCCTCGTATGAAGAAGCCAGAGTCCAACGGAGTCACCACACTCGACGCTCCTGATTCACCCGGCTATCAATTCTTGCAAACCCGTGGAATCCTCATTATCAACAATGAAAAGTTGGGACGGGTAGCCGTCATGCCGATTGGCATGGCGATTGTTTCCTCTGTCAACATGAACATGGAACTAAAGGGCAAGAAAATCAAGAAAGGAGATGAGATTTCGCATTTCGCTTTCGGCGGATCGGATTGCGTCATGATGTTTGAGCAGAAGGCTAGAGTGTCCAATTTCCCGGATTTGGAGGCGGGCGAGCATTTCTACTATGGCGAGAAACTCTGCAAAGCTCATTACAAAGATAATGTTCCACCTCATCTCAAGAACTAAATTGCCGTCAATTAAATAAACCATTGAGCACTATCTCGGTTGTGTTGTCATTCCCTTGATGTTTGACGTGGTAGTTACGGTATCCATTTATGTTAGCCAGCTTAATACATCGAATTTTGATCTGGTAATCACACCAATTGCCTTTGACCGAGTGAGATTGTGATTTCGAGAAAACTTGCAAGTAGTAAAATTGGAAAAAAAGAATTAACAATAATAGATTTAATCCATCCACCATCAATTTCCCTACGACTTCAAGAGCACAGGCGGTGGCACTTGATGAATAGCGTGTATACCCCTTCATCATATGCCACAACTAAATAATCACATGCGCTCATGATGAAGCACAATACGTTCTCATTACTCCACTGAAACAACCACTTGGAAGTTGTTCATACAACAGAACAGACAAAGACCCCCTGATGTCTTTTCGCTTCTTCGATTTGGTCGCGTGCACATATTAAATCATACACTAGGCGTGGGAATTTCGGCAAAGACGTGAAAATAATTATTGTCATGAACTTTCGTGATTTCATTAACATTATCATTATCATTGATCGTCTACAGGTCTATGCCATCATGCTATGTAAGAAAATTACTCCAGTATCTCTGACAGAAACCCCCCAATTTTCTCCACCAGCTGCCTAGCAGCCTTGGGGTTTCTCCAAAAGTGCTCTCCATTAGCGATCTCTTCGTACCTGAAAACTACTCCGTTTGCAGATCCTCTACTCTTACATAAACTCGACAGTTTTTCAGTCCAGCCTGGAAAGCGAAAGTCAGTGCTCATTCATTCAAATTTCTCATAGCAATTGGCTTTTACTCACGTTCGACAGTTTTAACTTGGACGAAAAGATCACCGGTCCCATAGATAACCAAAGTAGGATCAATTGTAAACTTGATGTTGTTATCTATTTTGGGACCTTGCTTTCCGAAAAGGGAAGTCAACCTGAAGCTCCCAATACTGGCCAAATTGTTGATCATGCCATCAGGAGGCAAAGGGGAAACGAGTAGGTAAGCAACTTTGAAATCACTTCCAAGAATTTCCATGATATTGGCATCTTCTCTATCACGAGAAAGTCTCTCTGGAATTCCCACATTCATCACACTATCTTTGCCCGGGTCAATGGACGAAGGGTGGCTTTCTCCTCTCCTTGGCGACCCGGGATGAACAATAGACTTGAACTTGTCCATACTCTTTCTGACCTTCATCGGTGCATCCACAGAAAACGATCGTCTCATTCCAGATCCATGCATATCATGACTAGCTCTTCTAATATCTTCATTGCCGCCCATTCTGACCCCTGAGCTAGATAATCGAGTTTTGTGATTTGTGATTTGTTCTCCTGATTGAAGACTACGACCTCTCCGATGACCTCCAGCTCGAAGCAATGAATATGTAGCTTCCATCATTTCATTTTGTTGAGTGGCTAAGAATCGTGCTCGAGATCTTATGTCTGCGTATGGACTGCCAGATGCTGGTTGCTGAAAAGGAGCTAGCATGCCAAGAAGGCTTGGCTCGAGATTTATAGTGATGAGGGATCCGTATGAGTAGCCGGCAAGTAGTAATAGAGGCTGTGCATCACTGCTCTCAACTGATCCTGCGGAGGTATATCTGCCTGGAAGGGTATCATTCATAGGCTGCATCAAGCGTTCTGATGGGACAGGAGCGAGGGTGTGGAGTTGAGAATCAGACTGTGCAAACGACGGTGGTCTAGATGAATATGGCACAGAAAGGTGATGTAAATAGGTTACGATGAATCCGAGAAATGATATATAATCCTTTTGCTCGGGCAAGGAGGACCATGAAGTGTGCCCTTTTGAGGAGCCCGCACCACTGGAGATACTAAGTGAGTCTAATGTTCAAGCATATGATGATAGATGGGCAGTTTTATGTACCGAAAATTGAAAGTTCCCACAATGAACCCATCATTCAAAATGGTAGAAGCAATCAAACCAACGACCGCATCATCATAACTTCCCCCCAATGGAGCGTAAGGATGCGCAACAATAGCAGCTTTCTTTCTCGATGGCAAAGCCTGCGAGATGGAGTTGGGTGCCAGACTTGACGGATGGTAGATACGACACTCGAGATTTAGATTGTCGTGGACAGAAGGAATTGTGAAGCTCAAAGTAGGTGGTGGTAGCATAACGGTTATGTTTCCTGAGGATGAATAATCTCATCCCAGGAGTAAGTTCAGTGGAATTGCTGTTGGCATAATGGAGTAAACTTCTCCAAAGTACTATGACATCAATGCCGATTTCCTGTGGTGATGATTAAAGTCGAAGGGTATATGTAAATGTTCAGACTGTGATGGATTTGAGATTGAAAGATGAACATGATGAGGTGGAATAGTTTAAGGCTGTTGCGCCCCCACTAGCCTGTAGATCTCCCGAACGTAGCCCATAAAGAATCGCCAATCACCAATACCAAGGTATTCAATGACGGGACGAGTACCTGGTGAAGTAAAGTTGCATATAATTAATAGGCATGTACAAGATCTGCATTAGAATGATACGAAGCCATTAATACCAGTCAATCCAAAGTCCAATTGACTTTTCACATGTAATTTCTGTTTCGAAATAGTTTTCTGTCGATTACAAGACATAACCATAACCGTAGATGATAGGGCTGAGCTGAATTGGCTGAATAAAGGCTTGTAAGTCTTGCATACAACGACTTAAACAGAACACGTCCGTTTACTGGGGTTTCTTGTTGTTGAAGAGAGGTAGGAAAGTAAAAGCCAAGAGAGGTCAAGAGATTTCGAAGATCTGATAGAAATAGAGAGAGGAAAAGGGGAGAGTGTGGTGTAAGAAAGATCCGGGTAGAGAGGGGCAGAGGGGGGCAGAGAGGGATACAGTTAAAGTCTAGTAGGAAAACTCGATTTCGGGTCTTTTCGGCTGGCCCTTCGGAACATGGGGTATCAAGATGTGGAGATGCCCTCTGAAGAAAAATATACATAGTTCGCAATACATCTTCTGTCTCTGGCTACATCTTCATTTTCTTCCTTTGCCTGCAAAAGTATCCTAACTCATAGAGAAGAGAGTACCTCCCATCAACCTTGACCATATCGTCGTTGTACCGCCACCTTCAAGCGGACATGTCCACACAAAAACGCCCAAAACTCCATGGGATCTCGACCCCTATCGATCGTTCTCCAAATCGCAAGGTAATCTTGCCGTGAATTCATTCCCTCCGCGCATCTGAGATGCATGTACTCTTTTTCGCATATCCGCTTCGAAGGCCACAATCATCTCTTTCTCTCAAAGAAGCCGGAAGACCCTGCAAAGGCTACCGATGTATCCATAACCCATTCACCAACTCCAAGATATTTCTCGATCCAACCGTTAATTTCTTTGTTTTCGGTGACATCTTTCTTAAGGCTGGGTCTAGAGTCCCGAAGGATGGGAATTGTTAGCCTTCTACACCGCCCAATGAAGAAACCCAAAATTTGCATCTGTAGTGCTAGTTCATCATTTCGCAACATGGTCGCAAAGGAAGGTATAGGGGTTAACACACGTTAAACCAGTTGATCTCTTCATACCAGCCAAGAATGCTGAGACTATATCAAGGAGGTCAGTATATTTTCGAACCTTTTGCCGCAAGGAGAACCGGGAGGGAGTAGTTACATAGGACAGCATCAAATGCATAATGAGTAAGTCTTCCGAGCTTTCCCGCGAGTCCAAATGTCAGTAAATTGAGGAAGAACTGAACTGATTAGGTTCCCAAGTTCTGAAAGACCTGAAAGCTTAGGGGGAGGCAACTAATTACCATATTTATGACTTGAAAGGCGAAGTTTACACGCTCTCTAAGATAATAGTATGGAAAATATAATGTGAATTATCCGGAGCCCGACAAACGTTTGATGCGCAAAAGGTTGGCTTATGATTTGCTTGTTTTGGAAACCAAGGTTGTTACGATGTGAGCTGACTTTGAGATTGGGATAATAGGTCGTCTCGGATTCATTCATTCACCGACGCGATATCAGAACCTTAGGATAAGAAACTAAGGAGCTGAGCTAAGAAAGATCGTTGTTGCCTTGCATGTTAGGCACTTAGGCCGAATCTCGGAAGTTTGCACGGTCGACCGACTATGGATCATGGAGTACTCCGTAGAGCGTCCTGCGTCCAGTCCTGCGTCCAGGCGCCCAAGTGGGTTCCTGTTACATTTTAGTCTTTGAGTTTTGGCATTCAGGACCGAAAGAATGGCCGATGCTACTTACTACTTACTTGGTGCTTAGGGATTCATGTGGACTAACGCACATCTCTATCTGCTATCGGACCTGAGTTGCCCAGTCTCGAGAGAGTCTCAGCAGGCAAAGAAGCAAAGAATGGCCCGACAACAACACACGCATTTCACCAGATGGCACCCCAAGATATTCTGTTTCATTCGGGGTAAGGGATCTGTGTGCCAGGTACCTAGTGCATAGGTACCGGCCTGTACAATTCAATAGGTGTCATTGCACGAGAAGATATAAAGGTAAAATGTGTACGGAGTATCGGTGAGTAGTAGGTTTACTGGATTGTATGTGAAGGCTGCTACTTGTTCGTACATACACCCCGATATCGACGGAGTACACTTGAGTATATATCTACTAGCTACCCAGATACACATCAGTGAAAAGAGAGGCAAGAGAGGTAAGAGAAATAATAATCCAATTATTATCAATGATTTTAACCTTGATCCTTTGCTGCGTAATTCTCTCGAAACCATTGCATGGCAAACACCTCAGCTACTCCCTCCCAAGACCTGAGGTACACCGATACCTGAAAGATATTTGACATAGAAATTCAAAAATTCACTATCACGGACCTCCCGGCCGGTATCTCGCTGGACCCTTCACTCCAATGTCACCTCAAACATATTGATGTGGGGTTGCACACCAGGCAAATCTGCGAAGTGGGATACACATCCCTAGTACCCAGCAGTGGGTGAGATGGCTAGCTTGGAGATGAGGGGGAGTCGATTAGATTTTTTGCAAAAAAAGAAAGATTTCCCCTCCTCTCCCCTCCAAGCTCCTTCAACCATAAAAGCTTCTCAACACAACCACAAGGTCTTTAGATTATCTTCTATTCGTTCGAGTTCTTCCTCTTCCTCTTCCTCTTCTTCAATCCAACTCAACCTCTGGTCAACTGGTAAGTGTATCATTTTATTTCCCTTCCCCTGCTGTCCATCATTAATATACTTCGGTGGATGGGGAACCCCTTGTGCTTTGTATTGGATCTCAGCTCAACAATCCAAATATTGGCATTCTTGGACTGTTTGATCGTTGTCCGTGTCTTTTGATCCAGCCAACAGATTGGCAGAAACGCGGCACAACTCCAAACTAATAATACCCTTCCTTTTCCTCTCTCTGCATATTTCCATCCTTTTGTTTCTCATTCTGTACCTCTCAAAAGTATTTCATTCAACCTTGATTCTGCATTTTCCTAATCCGATTGCTCACATTTAAACTGACGAATTGAAAAAAAGAAAGGCTTTTTAACAGTTGCACTTACCCCCACCACATCGAATTCCACCTACATATTCCTCCTCCTCAACCTCCCTCTTGATTATTTTACAAAATGGCTACCGCAATGGATCACTTAGTTACCGGAACCTCCAAGATTGCTTGGTTGGCAAACCTCAACACTGAGTTCAAGCCTACCAAGAACTATCGCCGTACTTCTATTATCTGTACCATCGGTCCTAAAACCAACTCTGTCGAAGCTCTCAACAAGCTCAGTGTGGCTGGTCTCAATGTTGTCCGCATGAACTTTTCCCACGGTTCATACGAATACCATCAATCCGTCATTGACAATGCCCGTGAAGCCGAGAAGGTTCAACCAGGACGTCAACTCGCCATTGCTTTAGATACCAAGGGTCCAGAAATCAGAACTGGTAACACAGTTGGTGATGCCGATATCCCTATCTCTGCTGGATCAGAGATCAACATTACAACCGATGACAAGTATGTCACTGCTTGTGACGAGAAGAACATGTACGTGTAATTCACAACAAACAATTGGTCATGAGAGTATCCAATGCTAATCTATTGCGACGCTTTTCAGGTACGTTGACTACAAGAACATCACCAAGGTCATCGAACCAGGACGCATCATCTATGTTGATGACGGTGTCCTTGCTTTCGATGTTTTGGAGATTGTTGACGACAAGACCATTCGTTGCCGCGCAAGAAACAACGGAAAGATCTCTTCCAAGAAGGGTGTCAACCTCCCAAACACTGATGTCGATCTCCCAGCTTTGTCTGAGAAGGATCAAGCCGATTTGAGATTTGGTGTCAAGAACAACGTCGACATGGTCTTTGCCTCATTCATCCGTCGTGGTGAGGACATCAAGTCAATCCGTAAGGTTCTCGGTGAAGATGGAAAGCACATTCAAATCATTGCCAAGATTGAGAACAGACAAGGTCTCAACAACTTCCCTGAGATCTTGAAGGAGACTGATGGTGTCATGGTTGCTCGTGGTGATTTGGGTATCGAGATCCCAGCTGCTGAGGTTTTCGCTGCTCAAAAGAAGATGATTGCAATGTGCAACATGGCTGGTAAGCCAGTCATCTGTGCTACCCAAATGCTCGAGTCCATGATCTACAACCCAAGACCAACTCGTGCTGAAATCAGTGACGTTGGTAACGCCGTTACCGATGGTGCTGACTGTGTCATGTTGTCTGGAGAGACTGCTAAGGGAAACTATCCTAACGAGGCTGTTACCGAGATGCACGAAACTTGTTTGAAGGCTGAGAACTCCATCGCATACGTTTCTCACTTCGAGGAGCTTTGCAACCTTACCGAACGACCAGTCAGCGTTGTCGAATCATGTGCCATGGCAGCAGTCCGTGCCAGTTTGGACATCAATGCAGGTGCTATCATCGTTTTGTCCACCAGCGGAGACAGCGCACGTCTTCTCTCCAAGTACAGACCAGTCTGCCCTATCTTCATGGTTACCCGAAATGCCAGTGCATCCAGATACGGTCACTTGTATCGTGGTGTCTATCCTTTCCACTTTGCTGAGGAAAAGCCAGACTTTTCCAAGGTTAACTGGCAAGAGGATGTCGACAGAAGAATCAAGTGGGGTATTGCTGAGGCTCTCAAGCTTAAGGTATTGGCTCAAGGTGAGAGTGTCATCGTTGTCCAAGGATGGAAGGGTGGTATGGGTAACACCAACACGTAAGTTTTGATCATGCCGAATTCAGTCTGAATCTCTGCTAATCTATGTTTCCAGTCTCCGTGTCATCAAGGCTGAGCCAGAGAACCTTGGTTTGGAGCAAATCTAAATAGCAAGGGAACAACTTGAAATAATACCATCATGAACTTTAGTTCATCTATAGAAACGATATACCCGAACCTCACCTCGCATCGAACCAAGCTTCGATGCTTTATACGGCCTCTCGAGTTCGTACCGTAATTAGTTTTACCATTCTTTCATGCTTAAAATGGTTATGATAATGAAGAACAAACAAACCAGAAGGTCACGGATTGGGTGCAAACGTACAGAATGTACTGCCTTGTTTATAGACGAATACCAAATGCTTTACCGCCTGAAAATGTGATTTTTATGATGATCTATGGCTAGTCCGATGAGAGTGATACTGATAACAAGTTATCCCCATTCCTTTGAACTTTCTTCAAAGCTATGTGATGTTTGGTTTACAAATTCAAACAAGCACGACGATCTAATATAAGTTGAATTTATACAATCCCCTTGAAATTCCCACACTTGAACTTGCTTGTAGAAAAGCGCTATTGTCGAAAATTATGGCCTTGCTTGCGTTCAGCCTCGTCTTCGTGCACGTCCCCAACGAGGCTGATCTCCGCATCTTGTGCCTGTCGCATGTGATAGAAGCCACTGCTACTTGTCTAGATATTATATACTCAATGATTCAAACTGGCAATCCTGCTTATCCTGCTTGATTCACATTTATGCATGTGTTCATATCATTTCAGATAGTGCTCTGCAACTTTAACTAAGTAGTTGTAGCTGTTCCAATTCTATTGCTCCTCCCATTCTAATACTCTTACATTTCTCCGTTCGAAGTCAGCTTGTAGCTACAGCTCTCACAATCGATTTCATCACATCACAGCAGTGGTAGCGAATACATGTTAAACCTATAAGATATCCTATAGACGAATCTTCAACTGTTAAAGAAGTTACAAATTCTCATAATACCAAAACATCAGATATCAACAAAAGAAAGGCCTCCAATCTCGAAAACAAAATGTCCCGCTCCCGTAACTCATTCTTCAGCAACTCTTCAGGAACAAATGATCAAGATCATCCTCTTCTATCAAGCGTATATGATCCGCATAATGATGTTCGTCTGCGAGACCTCTCTTCCCCTTCAGCATCGAGAGCTACACCAAGTCCACCGCCAGAATTCTATAGGGATATGAGGTCACCTACTAGTGCGAGTGCGAGAACACTTTCTCCGAGACCAATCTCGGAATCTGGATCTGCGAGTAAATTGAAAGGGAATGGGAAGGCGAAGGGAAGGAGAATACAATTTGCTGCTCCTCCGCCGCCGATTGTAGGGAGTGTTGCTGGGTTGGGCAATATTGGAAGGAGCTTAGATGGAAGCGGAAGTTCTCATTTGAGAGGGAGCGTGGTTCGGGAAGGAAGAGGAGTTGGAATATTGAAAAGTGTGGGGAGTGCTGTGGGAAGCTCGGCACAAAATGACAGTCTTTTGGGGCTGGAAAGGAGAGAACGAGCTTTGCAGGCGGAATTACAAATGTTGCTAGATGCGCAGAGTGAGGGTTTGATGCAAGGATTCGGTGGAGGTGGTAATAGAGAAGAGCACAGTGGAAGTAGCACGCCCACGACAAGGTCATTACAACGGGATAGAGATAGGCAGGGAGGTAGAAGTACAGAAGGAGCTCATGTGCGTACAATTCCTGTTCGACAACCAAAACGAAAATCGATCGGACTAAGAGGATCCAGAAAAGGATTGTTAAGGAACATGGGTCTGTTGGCAGATGTTAAAGTTGAGGAAGATGAATTGTTGACAGAAGAAATCAAGAGGAGAGAAATGTGTATTGCAAAGACAAAAGATTGGAAAATCAGAATCGACGAGGTTAAGAGAGAAATTGGCGAATTCGTCTCAGCAGACATAACAAATAATAGAGTCTCTTCACCGAATGAAGAAAGTCATCAATCTCCTCATGCAAGCAAATCCGAAGAAGATCGAGAGATAGCCGAACTACGGACTGAAGAGCGGGCTGTCGAAAACGAAATCCGAGAGACGGAAGATAGGTTGTTACAAATGAAAGCCAGACGGAGCTGGCTGGCAGACCGGATTAATGAGAGAGTTAATCAGAGGGAATCGCGATTGTCTAGCTATCGTGGTGCTTTGAGGGAAGTGGAATCAGAAGTCCAAATATTCTTGACGAGACCCGACGGCTATGGTATCGATTAGTATGGGGAGTGAAGAAGGATTCATGACACTGCCCCCTAAACGACGGACATTAGAAATGGCAGAGGAATGGTGGAGTAAAGAGATCAATTCTTTGCAAGCCCGAAAACTAGAGGTGCAAAAGGAAAAAGAAGCACTAGAAGATGGAGCAAAGCTCTGGGAAGAATCTGTCAAGACAATTGTGAACTTTGAGGATGAATTGAGAGAGAATATGAAGAGTAGCAAAGTGGGTGATATCGAGGGATTCAAGATGCAAATTGTAAAAATGAAGAAGGTGATAGGGAAGTTGGCTGAAACGGAAAGGATAGCGGAGAGCAAAGGCTGGAATCTGTTGGTGGTGGCTGTGGGTGCGGAGTTGCAGGCTTTCATACAGGGAGAGGAGATTCTGAGAGACGCGTTGGGGAAGTTCGGGTGGGGGGGGTTCTTGGTGATGATCTTGCTATTGAGAAGAAGATAATGGAGAAAGATCATGATGAGAGAAGTATCGATACAGATATGGAAGTGAGAACTACGCACTCGGGAGATGGAGAATCGGCGACTGATGATGATGGGTTGAGAGAATTGGAGGCGGAATTTGCGAGGCAGGAGAGAAGGGAGGGAGGGATGTTGGGAGAGGGGAGAATCGGTGGGATAGAGTGGGTGGGGATGGGGATGGGGATGTGGATGTGGAAGAGAGTGATGAGAAAAACATCTGAGGGAGTTGATGGTGGGGCATAGTAGAGGGGATGAGGAAAATGATACGGATCATGAGGGGTTTTGAGGAGGTTGGCTTGGCTTTGTAAAAGGGGGAGATGGAGTGGTAATATGGTTAGGGTTGAGGAGGAGGAGGAAAGTACTATTGATACCATTGGGGTGGTTCCTTTTCTTTAATCACGAGATTGCGTAATGTTGATTATTAATGGATGAATGAATGAATGAATGGATGAAATACATGTATACATATGCTTACACCTTTTTTTTTTTTTTTTTGCAAATCCCATATCATTCCCTTCCCTTCCTCCCTCCATGAATTTTTGAAATATACTTGAGTATAGAGATCAGAGAAGATGAGAAGATAAGAAGATATAAATAAGATGATAGGGATAGGGATAGGGATAGGAATATGTTATACGGTATGATATATATAGGTATATATATATATATATTAATCCCACCCCATCCCATCCCATCCCATCCCATCTCTCCCCTTCCAACACATGTCCCCATGGAAAACTTCTTCAACTTGACTTGATTTCTTGAAATTTAAAAAATTTAAAGATGTTAAAGATGTTAAAGATGTTAAAGATGTTAAAGATGTTAAAGATGCAAAAATCCAACCCAATTTCCCATATCCATATCCATATCCATATCCAAAGCCCAGTTCCGGTTCCATACGTAGATACATACATACATACCTCAACCCATCCTATTTCATCCTATTCCATTCATCCACCCTAACCAATCCATTCATCCATCCACCCCAACCCCCCAACCCAACCCATCAACAAACCCCCCCCCCCGATCCACCCGATCCCCCCACCTCACCTCAGCCCATCCCATCATGCACGGCACACCTCTTCACAGCCCACAACTCCCAAAACTTCCAATGCTGCTTCAACACAACCTCGCTACCCTGCTCTCCCAAATCCCCCATCGCATACCCATCCGCACACTCACAATTCGCATCCTCCTGACCCTCTCCCCCACTCTGCGCCACTCTCCCACCTCTCTCCCCCCCCTCCACCCCCCTCTCCTTACTCAACGACGAAGCCGAAGCCGCAGAAGAAGAAGAAGGTAAATGCACCGAACTACTATGATGACTCAACGTACGATCACCAATCGCCGTATCCTCGAAATCTACTTCCTCGTCGCTCTCGCCGCTCGAGTCGTCGAGATCCATGTCTGCATCGATGGGGTTATTGAGAATGGCATTATTTCCCTGGTTGCCCGCTCCCATTCCGATTCCGATTCCGATTCCGCCCGCCCCTCCGATTCCACCCATGCCATTTGTGCCTCCCCCGACATACCCAATGCCTCTCAAGCTAACCCACTTCAATTCCCGCAACTCCCTCCTTAACATCCGCACCACTTCGATCCAGCTACTCCCCTCTTTCAATTTCACGCTTCGGAGTCTCACGCTCCTCAGCGTATATTTATGTCTCCTGAGCAAACCGATAATCTCCTCACTATCCAAATGCCATGCTCCAAACCCTAAATATCTCAGATTCTCCCAGGTGACATTGTGAAAAACCGCTTCGAGGGGTACATGAGCAAGTGGTCTATTAGACGGGAACCCCACATGAAGACCCTGAATCTGATGAGCCGAAGTGAAGAACGTGTTGAAGAGAGCTGAAAGTTGGTACATTTTATCATCCGACGGTTCCTGTATTTGAATTTCTAAACAAGTGAGTCTATTTGCCAGAGTGGATATTGTGTTATGGGAATGTGAATTGAGGAGAAATGGAATACGCGGATTGACGAAACGAGATGAGAAGCGTGTTGCGGGAGATTCAGACTCGAGAAATGCGAAGCCGAGAGCCCGGGCGGAATGTTCGCATGCGGCTGTCCATTCCAGCGGGTCGAGATCGAGAGATAGAATCGGGTCGGTGATATTGTTGTTATTGTTATTGTTTTGAGAAAAGGCGATCCAGCGTCTTTCTCGGAGGAAGGAAGACCAATCCATATCTACTCTATCCTGAACTCTCATGAGACGAACTTGTTGAAGATGCTTGAACAATCGAAAGGCACGTAGTAGACTCTGTACATCTATTCTATTATTGATGATGGTAGACTGTTCACGTGCTCGTGATAATACTCGAAAAATAGTGAGCTCATCCTTGCGACTGCGATCAAGCTTTGTTCGAAGCTGCTTAAGCGATGGCCGAGATCTATCGACTTGACGTGCATTGCCATTTACTTGTTTAAGATTCACTTGTCTCTCGAGATCAACTGTCGCCGCGTGTGTCTCATCGAATAAAATCTGAAGTTGACTTAGACCTTTAAATGGGTTAGCGGTTCTTCAAAATAATAGGTAAGACTAGAAGATACCTCGATGGTAAAAGACAGGAATCATGTACGAGAACTTCTTGACGTGTTCAGCTAAATGAGGACGCTCTTCTACCAAGAATCGTAACCGATTGAAACCAGCATCAGAGCATCGAATGGAGACACGGGCAAACTGTCTTCCTAGTAACAAACTGTAGAATTTTCTGCACGTACGGCTCTGATAAACTTATCGTTAGAGATGTAATTGGGGATTAATAACGAATGGGAAGATCCATACAAGAGTTGTGGTAATGTTTGTATCCTCTAAGGATTGTGGTGGCATAGATTGAAAACTCTCTACACTTAGAGAGGCTCTATGGTCAATGGGAATCAATTTCCCAGAATTATGAACCAGATATTCAAGGATATTCTCTAGAACCTCGTTCGAGAGTTTGAATATAGGTGTAAGCTTGGATCTAGGTGTTCGCGATTTACATAAGGAATATGCTCTGTGAAATCTCCTCTGCGTCAAGCAGAAGTTGAGCACGTGTGGCGATTGAGTCCATGGATTCCAAGAAGGCGGTCTTTCATTATAATCTTCGTAAAGTAATTGCAAAAAGATTCGAGAAAGGATATCATCTGGGAGTCTCTCAATAGATTTCAGATCGTCCATCTCGAGGAATACAAATGTGATGATGGACGGAGAGCACTTTTTTCTAGAATAGCTTGTTAGAAGAATTCAATATAATCTATGCAGTCTTACCTCACATAACGAGCGTATTGGGACAGAGTGTTCTTGAGGTTATTCGGAGAATATGCAAGGATATAACTAGAAATAATGAATGTATATCAGATTGTTACATCATAGTGGGTGGAATTGAGTGCCGGCACTCTATGTATGAAATTGGATTTCAACGTCGAGCAGCCAGGTTTTATGATTTCTGACGTGTCGATGCGTCTCGAGGGATCACTCAAGGGATATTTCAACGGACAAATGTGTGTGGATGGATCTCTCCTCAGATATTTATTAGAATTTTATTGTCATGCAGATATATTGCTTGCTTTGGGTTTGGTTGGTCAGAACGATTTCATGGCCTTGCTGCAGCGGCTTGTGGGTTACCGATCGTTCGGTGCAAATACAATCATGTGATCTTGGATGAAAACCAATCAAGTATGGAAGAATGAATATTGAGAGGGTGCAATTGATATAATTTGATACAAGAAAAGATACAGATTTACTACAAGGATTCGCCCATTCATGGCTGCATGGAATGACAACGAATCGTAGGTTAGCGGAGTAATGGATCGTCTTAATTAATGTATAGCGAACGAATTACGGGTCAGAACACGATGATTGTGGTCCTTAGGCCCTAGCACGGGTAGGTGTCTAGACAAGATGATAAACTACGATGCAGAAAAATTAGATAAACTTATCTAATTTTCCGACATCTTCATGGACAAAAAGTGTGATGCATACGATTAGATGGTTCGTCAGATAAATGAAGGACAAATTAGACCGATAAAAGAAACAAAAATGTATTAACCCAATGGTTAAAGGGTTTAAAAGGGTGGTTCTTGCTTGCTTATTATGCCCATGACCTAGTCTCAAGGCGAAACATGGATCAAAAATTGAGAACGAACGGCTTGTTAATGTAGAATGTAACTGAAGGCAAGTGAATGCAACTCTCAACCATTTCTGTCGAATTTAATACACATTCGATAATAAACCTAGTCCAGTAGACACACTGATTTGCTCTTTTTAGTGTGGGTAAATCCTTCCACAATTATTGGAAAAAGGCTTGAATTCATTTGAACCTATGCATCTGAGAACCTGTGCATTTGTGAGATAAACATGATTGGATGATGGGCGCTTAATTCAATAGTCCCCGCATAACTCGACTCAATTGCACCACACGAGGAGAGATGTCTGAAGGACCAGCTTTCATTATATAATTCTCCGCGACTTGATGAAATAGAGTCCAATTGACGTTCCATCCGGTTGCTTAATTGGAAAGCCCCTCATTAGCAGGGGTTCTAGGCGTTGTTGAATCATGGAAATGGTACTATGAGGTCGTAGTCGTGGGCGTCGATACCCAGACGCCATTAATACGTTGAATCAATATTGAGAGCTACGTTCCAGACAAAGTGAAGCGGGAAGAGATGAGACGATGAACCCTGTCGGATGGTGATTCCTGTGCATGAACTCTGTATTTCTGCAAATGACGTGCATATTGTGACGGCGCAGCAGGCTCGATATTGGGTCGAGAAATTCTGCACGGAAGATATCACTCTACAACCTTATATCCGACAACAGTGGTACTGTATTCATCCTTCTCCTTAATATAAGCCCGGGCCAAGCTGGGCTATCTATGCAGAACGAGGTCTCTCGAGGTAAAGTTTTGATTAGAGTGACGATGTCCGGGCGCGATCCGCCATCTGCTTTCTTATTGCAGTACTACTGATTTTTGAAGCAAAGTCTGATTTAGGGGTGTCTCCGAGACCAGCTTGCGCATCGAGCACGTCGACTTCATAAACCTCCAGTGCCTTCCAGCCCTTCTCGACTCTTCTATCGTTTACTGCTTGTCCGCCCGACCTAGTTTCTCCCGACACAACGAGTGCGGTGACAGATTCATCCGTAATAGTTGGCCCATAAGCATCTTGAATTTCAACACACTCGATGGTGATCGAGCAAGTAGTGAGTTTGGTATGTGTTGCTCGACCATTTGAAGTTGCCAGTGGAACTGTTTGAATTGCTT